TGAAAAGGTTACCTCTGTGTAGGGCTTTGACGCAGCTGCAAGCTTATGTGTGAGTATATGAAAGAGGGTTAAAAGAGAGAAGAGTGGTGAGAGCGAAATGAGGGAAAAGCAGGAGATGCAACGAGAAGATGGAAGCGCAGGCAGAGAAGGGAAATGAAAGAGGAAAGGAGAGAAGATACAGATACAGAGAAGGAGGGAGATATCCCCCTGGGTGAGTGCCATAGGTAATTAAAATAGGGTGGACAGAGCTGGAGCATAGCCAGAAAGAGCTCCATCTCCCCTCAGACTTCTTCCCCAATCAGGCCTTCTGCCTGAAGCCAAATCGCTGCTTGTGACGGGGACGCAGAGAGCTTATGCTTAATGGACACGCACAAACACAAACGCACTGCTCAGAAATGCAAGTGAAAAGCAATCCAACACTCGCGCAGATGACAAATAATGTGATGGTGCTGCACTGGGGCACAAATGCACATGAAAACAACACACACCTACACTCACACACACACACACACACACATTGATGGTGCTGTACGAAGCTGCAGCAAGGGCAAACGTTACTAACCAGAGTTTGACTGCAGTAAGCACATATACATTCACTGCACAGCTCTGAGCTAGAGGCGAGCACATGAGTATGCGGTGCACGCACTCTGACACACACCACGAGCTGAACGAGTTGAACGCACACACACGCGTGCGTACGACGGCGATAAAGATGCGGTTTAAATTACACCCAGGGAAGAAGGCTTTTGATCTGTGAATTTGACTCGCCGTTATTCTGTTTTGTCACACAGCGTCGGGGCTGCACCGAGTACTGTAGAAGGTACAGTCCATGACGTCTGTCTCCAGTTAGCAGGTTTCCATTTGCTTAAGCGTCTTCTGGTAACCTCGTCGAATATTTAAAACGTGCCAGAGATCAAAATCAACCTCAATAGATTTTGCATTTTGCCTTTCGCTGTTTTAACGACCACTCCCAAACATCTTCCGGCTGGTCAAAGACTATGCTAAGTAGTCTCATCGTGGATGCATCACCATTACAGGTCCCCGTACCCTGTAAGTGGCTTCTCTCATGCTGGCGTAGGAGGACGCCCCAGCTAAAAGGTCGCTCATACACCAGCCATGTTTCTCTTTGTCTGCTGTGATCACCAGTGAGGGAAAATATATATATGAGCTCTTTGGGCAGAAGCCTGCTAAGAGGATGATAGCTCACAATAGGCGATCTACACACAACAGTCCTGTAGATTGACGCCTGCATGCTCATATATTTCAGCATAGACAGCAGAGATGACGCCTCCCCTGTGAGCTCTCTCGCCTTCTCGCAGGTATGATTGTGTTTCGGCTACACTTTGTTCCTCTCCACTCAGTTGTGACGGGGCCCCTAGATGAAAAGCTATAATTAAAAGAGAAAAGTTGTGAAGAAGGGATGGGTGTGGGAGAGGACGAAGGAGGCAGAAAGATTAAACACAAACAACGAAGCTTCATCGGGCAACAAAACCATCTCGCATTGCTGCAGAACAAAGGACTCGGACGTGCCTTTTATCTCCGTACAGAAAAGGTTTTCCAAATCCCTGTAGCTAAGATGCCATAACTAAAACATGCCGTTGGCTCAGGTGCTGCCTGAATTTATTGGACGACAAAAGTAGCAAAATATCACCGGACAGCCCAAACACACGAGAAATATGGATACCTGCATTCATTTTGTGCAAAGAATTAACAAGTCAAGGACCTCAGCGGATGCATTTGAAAAAAGGTTTCCTTCCTTATTTGCTTAATTTGTCTGTGCTTTCCGACGTGCTTGGGTTCCCTTAGTAAAAAGCAGGAAGTGGTCATTTCTAGACTCAATTTTTTTATTTAAATGAGAACCAAGAAGGTAGGGGATTAGATTACCTTTATCTTTCAGTGTTGAAACAGCTGTGATATCACTCACAACCAATTTGCCCGGCAGTTTAACGGGGGACGAAGGACCAGCTGCATGCATCACATTCATTCGAAACACAAACAAACTCATACTTCTTGTGACCCTCACACAACAAATATGCTTGTAAAACGCGTAGCTATGCGCACCCTGGAACGCCATCCAGGCCGCGGATGCCACATCGTCTGCCCGACCCCGATGGCGACGACGAGGATGAGGGAGCGCCAGCGGCGCTGTTAACACGATGCGGCTGACAGGAGAATACACTGCAAAATGACCACAAATGTTTGCCCGTTATGGCACACACAATGTGCACAGGGAAGCATAAGAGAGGCTGCTCCTCGGGGGAGGAATAAGAAGGAGACGGAGAGTTATAAAGCCGAAGATTGACGGCCAATGAAAGTGCATGAAGCTTCTTAAATTGAGCAACAACTGGAAGGAATTATTAAACACTACATGCGGGCCGACGCGGCAACCAAATCCACATGTAGCAGCCACCTGAACACCATACATCTGGCAGTGTTCAATTCACGGTACCACGGACAATTCACACCCCCGTTTGCTAAAGCTCCTCAGCTTATGTGGTGCCTGTTATCTTGATCCTTTCCTTTTCGAACATCTGGAGGGAGTTGTTCCAAAGGCCTCTCCCATCAACGCAGAATGTTTTGCATACGGGAGTTTATTTTAAATATACCGGTCTGAGGATAAAAACTACTTTCTGATAAGTAAAGCAAATGTGCCTGCATGGCACCCAAACCCCTGACCTTCTTGATGGTGCACAGTGAAGCACTGCGGGCCACACTCTACAGGAAGAAGGTGGCCCAGCAGATGCCTGCCCAGTAGGTCTCTCCCATCTCACTGCGTTGAGGTCCGCAGACTTCAAGACGCTTTTCAAGTGTTGATTTTGTATTAAAGAATCCCACCAAATCCTAAACGCTGCACTCTGCGCGAAACCAGAACTTCAAAAGATGCCTGTTGCCGCCTGCTATTGAGGAAAATCAGCATTCCTTCAAATCCCCGGACACTTTTGACAACTTTTCTTTATTTTATGATCAGATTAGTGACTAATCCTGCCTATTTTCAGAGCTTCAGGTTTGAAAGTGACTTTAAGACAATCTAAACACTATTGCAGCGTACATCCACATTTCCTCAGATATCAGCAGAGCACTGAGTGGGAGTCATCTCCAGACTGTGTGAAAACACAGGAATTTATACGCTAAAGCGAGACGCAGTGGTCTACAAAAACATTGCTGGGTGGCACACGTTTGTCAAAAAGCAAAAAAATCCGTCACATTGTGTGACATATAAGGAGCAATAGAAAACTACAGGCTTAGCGGCGGCTTAGAGCCCCACCGCGTTTCGCTCAGTCAATGTAACTCTCTGTGTACAAGAGGTAAAGAACGAAAATCTGTCGCCAATTGCTCGGCGTATTCTCTTGGCGATGCCGAGGGAGAAGCTGTTGGGTAACATCTCTTTCCCTCCTAAAGGTTCAGTCCGTTTCGTCTCCCTCTGTTTACTGCACACAAAGAAACACACGCACGCACACACACAGACAGACACGCACACCAACGATCTCAGACTGTTATTCTACACATTTCTTGAAACATGCTCCCTAGGAACCTCAACATACTAATCTGCTGGCGACTTAATCCCTTTGTGGGAAGCCTGCGCTGCAATCCAATCTAATTTTTACTGCGCTCGAGACGCCATGTTTGCGGCTTAGCATGTGTGATTAAATAGGGTCCTATGTGATCAATAGAGCTCATTAAATGTCCCTGTGGGCATTTGTCTCACTCTAAGGCTCTCTTAGATTGCTTTTACCTGCGGCCTGCTCTGCCTTGTTGCTTCAAGTGGCTCCCAACTTTATTTGCGGCATAATTAATTTTCTAATTAAATTACCCGAGCCTGGCCTTTGCAAGCCATTACCCCTAAATGCAGATTGAACTCTCCCCTTGGTTCCCTTTGGTGTAAGTTGTGGGTGTTTTTTTTGGTGTTAGAGGGCTTGGGGGATTGCTTCCAAAGGGAGGCTGGGAGAAACAGTGGCTGCACCTGTTGTTCCCTGCGGTGGCTGTGTGGCGGGGTGAGCACCTGCTCACGCGGCTGCTGTGTAGCTGTCTGTGTGGGCAGGCCGGGATAACAGGGAGGCCATTCACACCCGCTCAGACTGCTGTCTGCAGCCCCTCTCCCTCAACGCCTGTTCGCGCTGCGCTTTCTGCTCAATCATTCCCCTTTCTGTCCCTTGTTGTTGTAGATTGCCATCTACCACACTTCACCCTTTGTATCTTCGATCTCGCCGCCTGTGTTTCCGTCTCTGTTTCTTCTCCCACCGTCCCTCTCCACTCACACAGAAGCACAAACATAAACAGCAGCAGCTGGGAGCTGGTACAGTCGTTCTGTGGCGTTGCGTATTGCGTCTGGTGTGAAGGATGCCGTTGTAAACAGTGAATTGCATGTAACTTAATCAGTTCAGCAGGAGCTCAGATGGCAGTGAGTTAGCATGTAACTTGTGCCAGGGTGGTTATGGACAATTTGGGTAATGTGTTATCGTAAGTGTGCTAGACGTATCGTGGAAAAGGGACGTTTATACACCTTTTAGAGTATTCAGCTCTCTTTGTGTCAGTCTGAAGTGGCATAAAATTGTTTCAGACATATTTTGGGGGGAAATTCCACGGACTAGTATCCGAGCCAGATCATAGTTCCTGATCTAAATAAGAATATCAGGCTTTGTTCTCGAATGCAGTGTTGTAAATGTGCAAGTATCCCGAGCTGTTTTTTGCTGAGGCATCACTTCAAGCCTAAGATCCTACGCAACACGTGACAGAACAATGAAATGCAGGCATCTATGCATATCATGTGCATATATATGCATATAATAAGCAAATAAAACGAGCAGACACAAAGAGCCATTCATGTCCAAACAAGCGGTGCAAGACACGCAGGCTAGAACCCCGAGGAAAAGCCTAATAATGCAGCATCACATTTAAGTGGCAGTAGCCCAATAAAATTGCTCATACGTTATATACCTGTCCCCCCCCCCCCCCCCCACACACACACACCCCACTTGCCCGTATCCCTCTCTCAATCTCACCGGTTGGCACACTCACCGCACCAGATGGCCAGGTAGGGGGGAGTGGGGGAGAGTAGGGGGGGTGGGGGGGGGGTCAGGTGCCAATCGCCAAAAACTCGCCCTCTCCGGTCGCTCTTCTTCCTCCTCTCCGGAGAAAAGGCTGACGGACACCGCGGGGGTCTCGATATCCAAAGCGCCCCCCGAAATATCTCCAGCTCCTTCGCCGCAGCTCACCTGTCTCTTCCCTCTACGGCTCCTGCGCGCCGCCGTAGCATCGCCGTTTACCGAGCGCGCACAAAACGCCCAAATCCACTACACGCAAAAAAGCGTGTTTTTTCTTCTTATTTTTTTCGCCCCTGAGAAAGAAAAAAAAAAAAGTCCGGTGTTCTTAAAACGTGATGCGGGAACCTTGTGCGAGCTTTTTTTTTTTTTAGGGTGTCCCAGAAATCGTTTTCCTCCCCGTTATCTTTGTTCAGACCCCCGTTAAAATTACAAATGCTGCAATTGCGGACTGCATTATGTCCCCTAGCAGAAAGGGGGGGGGGGGGGGGGGGCGGTGGTCTGGTCAAGGTAAGGCTTTGAAATCAGTAGTCAGCTAAATGTAATCCCCTGTTTGAATTTACAGTGGCGAGGTGAAACGTCCAACGCGGAGCAGTCACAGTGACAGCAGGGGCCCATAATTCACACCCCCCGAAGTGAGTCCTGCAGTGGATCAATGATGAATGGGGGAGCGGGGTCTCTCTCTCTCTCCCCCCCCTCCCCCTCCTCCTCAACACACACACACACACACAAGCACAAGCAGACATACACGCAGATATAATGCAATGCATCAAGCCATTATTGAACGAATTGTTCGATAATCGTCAGCAAAGTTAAATGGCACAGCACCGGGAGTAATACCTTCATATGTTTTATTTTAGTTTATTTATCAATAAAATATTGTGCATTAAAGTGATATCAAATAAACCTTCGGGCAGCATATAAAGTAGTTATTAGCCAGCTATAACACTAAATGTGTCAAATAATAACATAAAAAACGTCCATTCCGCTGCATTAAATGAAGACCTTTCCATAAGACAAGTATATTTAGCTGGTACTTCAACGAGTTAAGGATTAGAATACTTGCACTGGATCTGAATAGAGTTTTAAACATTCAGGCTTACTGGAATAAGAAATACGAAATACTGAATAAGAAATACTGAGTTGACTCATTTATGAAAATAAAAATAAAAATAATTGAAATAAGTGAAATTGTTGTTAGTACTATTTAAGCTATAGTTACCATTTTATATTACACAATCATATCAACTGACACCCCTCCCATACAGACTGAATGTTTAATATAAATGCTAAAATACAAAATGATATCACGGTAATAAAGTTTTAAAAAGGGAATACAGGCCTACGTCACTTCCGAGTTTAATCGGACAGTAGTAAAAAAAAAAAATTGGGTTGCCATGAATTTCAGCTAGCCAGCCACCGACAACTGTCAATACACTTGGGTAAAACGACCCATGTCAAGACACGAGAGGAATTGTCGAAGTCTTTAGCCGCTTCTGTGGACACATAAGTTAAGTTAGGGGCACACCGGCCCGCCTGATAACCTACTGTGAATCGGTAAGTAGCTAGCTCTGAGGCTAACGTTGTAGCGAGCTGCCGCTAGCTGGTTAGCTAACGCTAAGGGATGATATTCGGACTGTTATCTGACATTAACCCGTCCAGTGGCTAATGTCATATTTTACCAGCAACGTGTCGCTTATCTTTCTTCTCGCTTTTATGAAGGCTTTGTCATCATTCTCCTGCCGTTATGGGCCCACATTACCGGCTAACGTTAGAGGTTAATATCGTTGTTAACCATGTAGCCACCATTAGCACATTAGCCGCTCTCTGTGTCTGTGTTGAGGGGTTTGCTGTTATTAGGCACCAATGTCCATGATCACGCCAAGCAGCGGGGATCACTTTAATCCCGCATTGAGATGTCAGCAGCCTCAGCAGATGTCTAAATGCATCTAACTTCCGCCTAAGTGAGAGCTAAATGTTAACAGGAGCTGTGAAATGATGACAATGGCAACTGATGTCTTGGCCGCTATAATACATTCGGGTGTATCTTATATTTTTTAATCAAAGCAATATCACATCTATGCCCGGTGTCTGTGTAATTCGATTTGGTTGCATCTGCTACAATTATTACAACAATGATTGTAGATTAAGCATTGTGATAATTATGTTACTGTATATCAGCATCTAAGGCCTGTCAAGTATAGTACGTTGCTGCATGATGTAGATGTATTTCAATGTGTTAACTTTTTCTCTTTTTTTAAAATCAAGATCCTGCAGGCACAGTAACTAGTTCAGAAGACCTTGGCGCCTGCCCGTGCCAGTTCATTTAAAGCCCAAGGGTTTTCTGAATCCAGGTATGTTCATAACTGTATATGTGCAGTGAAGAACCAAGAAATTGACTTGTGGATTTTTATCTACTTGTTCCCACCTTCAAAATAAATGTCCTCCACTGTCATTGCAACATTCTGCCTTGAACTAATAACTGTGGAGCAAGTATAGGATGTGGTCGATCAAGGAATCCCCTGTTGAGCTTTTTACCCATCACATCCCATATTTAAACCACTGTAGCTACTAAGTGCGAAATCAAAACACGCCTCATTATGTAGTGCCGCTGCTCATTTTCCCTGAAGCTACTCATCCAGATATGAAATAGCATTCAAATGTAACATTTTCTTATAACGACAATGGACACACTAAACACGGAAAGAACCCTTGTTGTGAATTACGGCTAAAAGGTTTTTTGTCATTGTTGCTTTCCTTGTTTGTTCTGCCATCTAATTATTCTCTAACATGTTTATTTTTCTGCCAGAAGATGAACGGTCTGTCCATACGAGAGCTATGCGGCCTGTTCTGCTGCCCCCCTTGCCCCAGCCGTATTGCAGCCAAACTGGCATTCCTCCCTCCAGAGCCCACGTACGCCCTTCTCCCTGATCCAGATCCAGGCTCTGCGGCTGGAACTGCTCCAGGGTCCAGTTCCGGGACGGCTCAGCCTTCTCTTGGAGCCCCAGGACTGCGTTCCCGACTAGGCGCCGGTACTGGTGCTGACAGAGTAGGAGCGGGAGCAGTTGCTGGAGGAGGTGGCGCTGGTGGGGGTGGTGGAGTAGCAGGAGGAGGCGGAGGAGGAGGTGTTGGTGGTGCAGGTGGCAGCAGCAGCGGCGGGGGCTGGAGTGAGGGCAGGTGGAAGCTTCATCTTACAGAAAGGGCGGAGTTCCAGTATTCACAGAGAGAGCTGGATCTGACTGATGTATTCCTGACCAGATCTAGCAAAGGGAACCGGGTGGGGTGCATGTATATTCGTTGTGCCCCCAATGCAAGGTGAGACACACACCACTCTCTGCACACCCTGCACCTGGAGACACACAGAACACAACCCAGTATCTCTCTGTTTTGTGTGTATTTTTGTTTCGGTAGGTTGCCTTTTGTAAAAAAAAACGAATTCAAATATATTTGGTTCAGTTAAACAATAACTATAATAAGCCATTTTATTCTATCAACTCAGTGTAGCTTTGTCCCTCATCCACCTGCCTAACTTGCTTCTCTTTTCTTCCACCTCCTTTTGTCTTACAGGTTTACAGTGTTGTTTTCTCATGGCAATGCAGTAGATCTGGGTCAGATGAGCAGCTTCTACATTGGCTTAGGCACACGCATCAACTGCAACATCTTTTCCTATGATTACTCGGGCTACGGCGTTAGCACTGGCAAGCCCTCTGAGAAGAACTTGTATGCCGACATTGATGCCGCCTGGCACGCCCTGCGCTCTCGGTAAGCAGGGTCAAGAAACGTGCGTCACCATCAGGATCCAAAATGAACGGCCAAAAAGCCAGTTAAAGTGACCACTTAAAGTGACCACTCGCATCACTGGCCAGAAACCTTTGGTTGAAAGTAACATTTAGTTTGCTCTGCGACCATCAGCCAGTCACATCCAAGATAGGTTCTGCGTCTCTGCATAGAACCATATTCTCTTTGCTTATGATATTTTCTTTTAGTCTATCATCAAACACGAAACACAAGCTTACGACAATTTATTCACACCAGCCCTTCTGCACTTCTCATACTTGACTAGTACTGTTATTTTTGTGTCCTGTACCTAACACTTGCGTGTGTACTCTCAGGTATGGCATCAGTCCTGAGAATATCATCCTGTACGGACAGAGCATCGGCACGGTGCCCACAGTAGACCTGGCGTCACGGTTTGAGTGTGCCGCTGTGGTCCTCCACTCTCCTCTCACCTCTGGAATGAGAGTAGCCTTCCCCGACACCAAGAAAACATACTGCTTTGATGCCTTCCCTAAGTAAGTCTTCTGATTTATTCTGCGTTGCCAAACAATATTTGAAAAGAAAAAGATGTTTCTGAACCAAGATATTATATTCTAAATATAGCGTGACATCAATGAAGCTGTCATTGATGTTCTGATTGTTTTTGTAGTGCAACATGGAAGCATTATGACCGATGGAAGTTGAATGAACTTATTGTTAAATCAATATGGATTAACAATCATTCTTAAAGTTGTCGATGCATGATGATATAATAGAAATCCCTTGAAGGTCCCACTTAAGTGTCTCTGGTTATATCAGACCAATATGGGCAATGTTTCATATCATTGAGGCGTGTCTGAATTATTGTAATAATGCATCTACAATATTTCATTGTCTAATTATTTTATTTAGATTCCCATTGGTTGTTACCTTGGCAACAAACACTTTTCTCAGAGTTTTTGCTGCAAATGTCACAACGTACTGTTGATCGGTGCTTGTGAACCACTAGTTTTGCTGCAATAACCAAAAACAAGACCTCCAATCTTGTTATTTTTTTACAGAAATGTTTCCTCAATACAATTTCGGAAAAATATGTATCCCTATGATGTAATGTATCATTTATTTGGATTTAACAACGATTGTTAGTAATATAATTAGCGTTTAGATGGAAAGCAATGAAACCTGTTACCTTTAGATTCCATGTAATTAAACAGCTGAACACATGAAGTTCTGCCTTTTGTCTGCTTTAAACCTTTAAATAATCATTCCAACCAGCAGGAGTGGGTCAAAAGCCAGAATTTTTTATAGTATCACATTAACGTATGCCCAAAGTCAACTAAAATGCACAGTGTCCTTATTTAAGTACATTAACATCATCCGTCATTCTTCCCTCAGCATAGAGAAAGTGTCAAAGATCCCGTCTCCTGTGCTCATCATCCACGGTACGGAGGACGAGGTGATTGACTTCTCTCACGGCCTGGCCCTGTTTGAGCGCTGTCCCAAGGCGGTGGAGCCCCTCTGGGTGGAGGGGGCCGGCCACAACGACATTGAGCTTTACAGTCAGTACCTTGAGAGGCTACGGCGCTTCATCAACCAGGACCTGGCGGCACAGCACGCCTGAGAAGCCAACGGCGGCCTCTCTGCGTTTGTATGACTGACTTGTGAGAGATTGACCTGATTGAGCGTGATTTTTTTAAATTATAATTTATTTAATTTGATCCCATCTGTGTGTCTTTGAAGCAGCTCACCTTTATGTTTCTTCTCATGACACATTTCCTGTTAGAAAGGAGGATTTTTAATCTCAGCAGCTTTACCCATCTGTGTGGTGAAACGCTAAAAAGCAAAGGCTGAGATTGAATAACTTCACAAATCGGGTTTTAACGTGAGGAAATTTATGAATTGCAGCTTTGAAATGTGTCGCTAACATAACTGAAGAAGTAACAACAATGTGCCCAATGCCCAAAAGGCACACAGATGTCAATTTTTTAAGTAGAGCGTGATAGGGAATGTATGAGTCAGATGAGTGGAAATGTGTGTGTGTGTGTGTGTGTGTGTGTGTGTGTGTGTCTGGGATAAGAAGAGAGAGTGTGTGCTGGAAAGAATAATGAAGGACAGCCTGATGACTTCAACATCTGTGGAGGACGCTAATAGAAACGTATTGATGTTGATGTTTTTTTTTTCCCGTTTTCTTTTTGTGAGTATATGTAAGAAGAATACCTCCACTGCTCGACCGGCCCTCTCTCCGGTGGACAAACACCGGTCGAGCGCTCCGTTAATGGACGTCCATCTGACAGCCAGTTGCGTTTCCCAAGTTGCTGTCTAGCTAACACTAACCTTCTTTATCTATGTGACTTGGGGGTCCATCTCCCTGCCTTCTGGTGGTTACATAAGGACTCGTCTGGAATACCGTCATAGCTTGTATGACTGCTGAGTGTCCCGTACTCTCCGGTCGCTCATTTTGGACTCTTGGAAAAGATTACAGAATGGCTGGCTTCCACTTCCTTTCGTGGCCGTGCTGTAGCTTTAGCCTTCACCTGGAGTCGGAATTTTGCAGCAGCAACTTATGGGGAATTGTTTTGATTCCCCTTCATTGCTTCTCTCCAACCGGTCCGACAGATTTGTGTTTACTGCCGCGTGATGTTTAACAGTCAGGCAGACGCCACGAGTCAGATTTAAAGGTGTTGTTTGACATTTAGGGAAATGCACTATGAGATCTGGAAGAAGATTAAGGCGGCTGTACTTGTATTCTTACAGCACAGTTTGTGTTCCATTAGCTCATCACAGCGGTTAGTCAGCCTCTCGTTCATATGCACATTTGTTTTGAACCCGTTTGTTTTCCCTATTTTTTGTCTTGATGTAATTAATCCTAGCGCGTTTGTCGTAGTGTGGGGCCATAGGTTGTTTGTTTCAGAGCCATGCGTGTCGATGTCATGACCATCGGATCGGGTGTCCGGACAGGACGGCCTACTGAAGCTGTTTTCAAACCTCTGTGGCCCTAAATGTACAGGAGCTCTCTTATGGGTGGCAGCACGCTTCATGTCTGACACAAGCCATATTTGAGCCGCTCACTGTTGATGTGGTGCAGGTTCCACCACACCTACACACACACACACCTACACACACACACACACACACACACATATAATACATGTGCTGTAGAATACAGTATATTGACACATTTCTATATATCAGATCAAGCATGACAAAAGCAGGTCTTAAGTTCAGCACTATTGTACAAAGCATCCAAAGTGTAACAGGGGTATAACATGTAAGTTTGTCTTCATTATTATTATTATTATTATTGACTGTATTTTACAGGCCAGCGTCAAGGATACTCTACATTCGGATAATTAGTACTGAACCCTGTGTGTAGATGTTCTGGTGACTGGCTAGCACCACATTTCAGATGTACCCGAGGCGTCTGCTGCATAGGAGACGCATCAGTTTCAGTGATGGTAGCTGCGTTTTTTGTACTCAACTAGCGCTGATCGGATTACTCCATTATAGGAGTGCCAGTGGGTTTCGGTGTGATCACTTCAAACAGGGAATATTTCCATTCTCATCCCGTGCTTCGTGTCTCCGATATTTGAATAATGGAAATCTGTTACTATCTTGGACCAGTGATCCGAGCTGAGCAGGAATCAGAGCGTCATCCGCTCCGTTGTTTTTTCCTGGACTGGTCGAGTTTTCAGGGAAACCTCTGGATCCACCTTTCATTCTTTTGGTGGAGACTTGCAGTGTTATTGATGCGCCACTATGGTAGATGTATATTGTATCCTCTGGCTCTGAATGTGTATTGATGGGGGGGGAGGCGGGGGGGGGTGAACAGTGAAAACTGTATGCATGTCTATAGTGTTTAGCAAGGCAGTACGTTTGAACGTTATCTCTATTATGTATTCTATGTGAGGATGAAGCTGAACTCATGGCATTGGAACATTGAAGCGCTTTAAAGAAAAAGAAAAATGGGACGTTTATTTTCATTTTAAATGCTGATACTAACTGATGTATTGTTATGAGTTTTGTGCTAGAGTTTGGCGGGGCATTGTTACGTGGGTGGGGGGGGGGGGGGGGGGTAGACTATACTAGTGGGCTGTTTATATCGTTACTGTACTTACCTATTCTATTCTTTGTATTATGATTTTATGTTGCTTTTTTGAACTGAAAAAATGATGTAATGAATTTATTCATGGGATTGAATCTTGACCTTTTTATGGACAACAAAACAATAAAAAAAGAACACTTATGTACAAAACTCTGACACTGAGTATTTGTAATTGATCAGGTTAAGAATTGATATCTGGTAGTGAAATTGCAATTTATATGTAAATATTGATTTAGCATTTGGATGAGGTGACTTTGCACCCCAGTTAAATTAGGATAATATGTAAAATCACACATAACATCCAGGGTTCCTACAGTTATGAGCACTGGTTGAAATGTGGAATTTGAAAATAGTGGAAAGGCTTTGGAAATAGTTTGATAAATGACTTAATGTGGTTCAATGAATATCAAATTCAAACCGAGCTGCTGTTTTTATTTTAATCCACCCAATATGAGGCATACATTTTGTCGCTTATTCATCACAGCAATCTTTTGGCACCACACATTTGACACACTTCTGCAAAAACGTATAAGAATACTAGACATAAGACATTGTTACTATTTGATGAAATCACACTGATAGATATATTATTATATTCTGATATATAATGTAGTGTTGAAGCTTTCATAACAGAATCCTGCCTTGGTAACAGCGTTTAGTGGTGTGTGCCCTCTGCTGGCGGGTTATTGCCAATTACAGTCTTTTAAAACACGTCACGAGATTCCAGCAGTTTATGCAGAAAAAGGTGAAAACCTCCTTTCATTTCAAGTACAACGCCTTTTCAAATAGACCAAGAATTAAGAGCTTCTACACATTATCGGGGTCCTGGCTGTGATCTGAGATTAAAACGTCCAAGACTCCAGCAAAACTCAGCTTGCTGATCTCAGCTGTTCAGCGGCCATGAAATAAGCTCCAGCCGGCCGCCTCCACATGGCTCCGGGCGCTGGATCCTCAGCGCGTTATTTGATTTGTCAGCACAGAATGAATTTGCTCCGGATAGAAATATTGGGGATTCTCTGCCAGCAGAGTTCAGCCATCCGTGGAGTTCACCGACGGCGGCCTTGTTCAGACATCCAAAAAGCCTCTTGCTGCTGACCCGCGTTGACACGGGGGATCGATGTCCACCAGGAGACAACTCGTTTGTGCACAATATTTGAAATTAACTGAAAGATGTACAGTGGTGTCAAATGGAACGAGTCTCACAGCTGAGGTGCTTTTGGCAGCCGGCCTCGGTGTGCAGCAGTGCTCCGAGTACAAAGGTGCAGCGCATTTGTTCCTAGGAGGGTTTTTGCCTCCGGCTACATGTGCGGGTACCTGCAGAAGGAGAGGTGAATGATGTAAACATGCACAACCCAAAAACACTGCAAATCAAAGGAAGTAGGATGAAAAATACAGCAAAATACACCAAATCCAAACCCTGGAAAGTACTTTTCAACACTGAAAAGAAAGCCATCCTCAAAGCCATCACATCATAAATGAATCACTAATGGGTTATAATTTAACCTTTAAGGATACAAGTGACGTTCTTGTCCCACACTGTTTGCCAAGCATTTCAACCCGTGAAAGCGCACATACTTCCTGGTGGGTGCGACTCTATTCATCGCTTATCTCTCGTGACAATGCGGTTGTGAACCTGTGGAACAACTTCCTGCTCCTCTTACGTAACTCGAGGGTAATGGTTTTCAATTTTTTTCCCCTAATGAAATCTCACTTTCCTTCATATCCGCGCGTCAACTGACCTCGTGCGCTGCGTGGACATCTCAACCAGCTGCTCCTCCAGCGCCACCATCCTCAGGCCAATGTAGCCGGAGGCCAGCAGGAGCAGCACCAGCCTGCAAGCACAGAGGACGTAGTGAGCAACAAGGCCTTGGACGAGGCCTTCCGCTGCAGCCCTTCACCATGCACACGTCCGTGGGATTGTCGCGTGACAACGTTTTTTTAAAAACCACATCTCGAGATAATCTCTCTCATTCCAAAGGGCTTTCGAACAATCCAGAAAGTCAACATACCCCCCCCAAAAAATGCCTTTACTGAAACATAAAGGATCATGACATTTACTCAGTGAGCGCGCCATCTGCAAAGTATTCTACGCAAAGCCAGAAAAGTTTGTAGTTGTCTGGTCCCGAGGGAAAAAAAAACGTCTCTCATTCCTCTGTGGTCGACACCCAACCTTCTTCCGTTAACAGTTCTCACACAGCAGCATTGGGGAAATGCAGCAGAGAGATGCACAGTGCCGGGAGAAGTATTCATACTATTCAGTAAAGGTGCCCCTTCCTCTGAGTACATTGACTTTAACTGGCTGAAACAATGAAACTCACAGCATCATGTAGACGTAGAAGAGAACGCCGAGACTTCTTAACTCTCTGAGGAAGAAGAGTGGTGCGACCGTCTCTATGATCCTCCGAATCCAGGATTTGGCTGGTTCGCCTCCATTGTCTTCGTCTGTTGAGCTGTTTTGACGGGTGGAATTGCGTCTTGTAGGAGCTGGAAAGCCATGAATGTTCGTATAATAAAAAACAGTTTTAATGATATTAACCTTAAGGTCTGATCTAAAAAAAGGGATGAAATTGCCAAAAGACAACAGGACTAACCAGGGACGATTACTCCGTTTACGCTTCCCTCCATCTGTCCCGTCCGTTTCTCACCTTCGCTGGACATCTGAGAGAAGCTGCTCTGTCTGCTGAGATCACGATCTACGCTGTCCTCCAAACTCGAAAAACTGGAGGCCTGCCGACAAGGACGGAGACGCTGCAGGTTAAAGTCTCTGCTGGCGTGCGTCACGCACTCACATTTGCTTAGGACCCCTTAAGTTCTTTGGTACGGTGGAATTAGAAGACGTTTTTTTTGATTGGCATGTTTCATCAAGAAGGCCATTCCAAGTGCTTCACAGAAAACCATTAAAACCATCAACACATCAGGGAAAATGAAGGAAAATTGGTTGAAACATTTAATAAAAACATCAAGGAAACAAGCTTAAAACATACTGAAAATGTCAGTGGAGTTTATGACGTTCACGACAAACAAAGAGTGGCTGTAGCAAACACACCATGTCGTTATCCGCTTCATTCTCTGCAAATGAAGGATGAGGGCTGCTGTTGATGCTCTTCTCCTGTTTCAGGCAAACACAGAAACGTGAGCGAGACTTCAGTTCAAACTGAAGCGTATTTGTGCTCGGAGCACCTGCCCGTACCTGAAGGCAGAGCGCCTGGAGGAGTTTATAACACGTCTCGCGGCGCGTCAGAGACATAAACGTGTGCTGAAAAGAGAAAGCGAGAGAGAAGATTAATGACGTGGCAGAGCCGTCCGTGTTAAAAGGAATATGACATCTGGAATTTACAAGCTGCATGTTTCTTTGAACAAACTTTAAATTATAATTTCCCAGGTTTTACGTTCAGTTTTCTCCACCCTTTTATTGATTGGTGGTCAGAAGTGGAGCAGTTCCAGGATCCACTGCAAGCGATTTAGTCACACTGAATTATTATTGATGAGTTATTATTAGTAATAATAGTTTATTAACCAATATTAATCAAAACACTACTGCTAGTATATTTTATTTTTGACATAGGGACGTGGCATTGGCCAAGTACCACAGCATTTACTTTGTCTTTTAGTCTTAGCTATTTTATTCCTTATTTAATTGAAGTATTGTGCATTTACACGTAAGGCAGCAAAATACACACAAACTACACAGAAGATGAAAGGAGGATCTAATTTCATGTGGTGAGACAAATACACATGTTAACAAGATGGTCTACAATTACAATTTCCCACAGCTGTGTCATAAACCTTTAGAGGTTTTACCACCTCACCTGTTTACGTTTCTATTTGGATAAAAGCCAAATTTGTTCCCTTTTTTGAACTGCCTGATTATTTATTATTATTGTAATTTCTTATTTTTTTTGTCTGTAATTCAAAGCGTCAGTTAAGGAAATGTTTACTGGTATATTTTTTAGCTCAAAATAAGAGAAGAAAACTCAAAATAAATGGCTCTGACCTTCTCTCCATCAGCAGTTTTAATAGACAGCACAGATAAAGCGGAGCTGTGCTTCTTCACCTGCATCACGCTGGACGCAGGAATCACCACCTGCGACATTTCACAAAACAAAACACCTCAATTCTCGTAGCATCCGCTGATATAACATGACGTCCCCAATTCAAACTGTACCTAAAAACATATGGATTTAATGACAGCAACATGTGAGAGAAGGCAAGTAGTTAAAGGATTTCGCTGGTGGGACTATTGCTTCACCGTATTGTGTCGGAGTTTGTTACCTTTGTGTCTTTGAGCAGCACTGACGAGTAGAAACACACATAGTTCTCAGAAACAAAGAGTCGTCCTTGATACAGCACCTCCTTCTGCAAGGCACAGGAAAATGCTACACACACACACACGCACACACACGCACACACACACGCACACACACGCACACACACACAGTTGGTGTTGTAGTAGTTCAATTATAAGGCCGCACTTATTCAAACAGAAGGGACAAGAAGAAAAAAGGGTCTTATGGTGATGTAATCAATATCAGGCAATAAGTCACAGTGTCTCTCAACTCACTGTGCAGGAGGCTCTCGCCCTCAGGAACCTCATGGAACTGTTTGTAAAAGCTTTTTCTGTGCCTAAGGAACCTCTGCAGGGAGAAAAGTGGGTTATAAGGTAATCTGCGATTTAAAATCAAAGGTTTAGTGTTTGTTCTGAAACGATTCACTACTGTTTTCTTAAGGTTTATTATCTCTCGTGCTCGCTTGTGAACACTGAGACAGAACCGAAAGCGCAAAAGCCGTCGGCCCACTTCTCAACAAAGAGCTGACGCTCACTATGAAAGCGCGAGGGATCTTCCTGCTTTCACATGGTTTTCACATCGCCACGTGACGCAGCGCCCATTGTTAGAAGAACAGATTCTCTGATTATTCTTGTCTGGCAAAGATAAAACATCAAGACGCCCAGAGGCAGGATGACGCGACACAATCTTACGGCCGTGTGAATGAGGCCGTCTGAGTGTCCAACGCTGTCCTCTGCTATGGTCTGATTCCTGAAGGCACAAAGGATAACACATCAGCATGAAAAAAAGAAACATTTTCTTTGTTTGTTTCCCCTCAAGTTTACCTGGGGGAGACGCTTGAGTTGAGGCTGTGATCCAGCTCCTGGATCTCCAGGCGGGCGTCTTCCAGACTCCCACAGTCTCTGCGGTTCTTAATGCCGAACCTGCTGCTGCTTCTTCTTCTTCCCCTGCCGAAGTCCACGCACCTGTCCGAAGAGAGCGGGAGATGAATGCCCGAATTCATATACAGCAACATAAAGTACGTTAACCCAGAAACATGACGCACGAGGAGCCGAGGAGCGCATGAAAGATGAGTATATGACGTCGTTTTATGTCTGATAGCTCAGCTGGAGAAGTTCTGTTATGTGGAAGAAAAAGCACAAAACAGCTCCAAAAAGAAGACGAGTTGAATTGGTTCTCATGGTTTAATTGTCAGCGTGTTAATTAGCGGTTTCCAGGGAACACAAAGGGCGATTTGAGAGAGGTTTCACTTTTGAAAACCATCAGCAACAAACACACGGATAATTACAGATAGAAGAAATCTGCTCAGAAGCAAACTTACTCAGAGCCGTCCAGCGAGAATCTTCTACTCCTCATAGTCATGATGGAAAACAGATACAGCTCATACACATGCACACTCACACACGTTCAGACATGCAGGGAAAGTCTCTACTCTAGTCTTTAGCTCGATGCAGGAAACTAAGTGGCCAATAAAACTGAATAATCATGACAGCCTACTTACTTAACTTACTGGAATTAGCTTCTCATTGTTTAGTCAACCAATCGGCTCTCAGGGGGGAGTTTTCTTTCCCTCAAACAAAACCTATCAGGGTTTAGAGCAGCGCTTCTGCTCTTCCCCTCAACAGTCGCTATGCAGCCTCACCTTTTGACACAGGGAACAAAAGCCCGAGAGCACATGCGTGTGTGACACAGGAATGCAGGGATCGCTGTCGCCGCAGGCTGCAGCCAGGTGATCTGCTCTGCTTGACATTTAGGAATGAACAATTGCCTTCATATGCAATAAAAACCCAAACCTTTACCAAACATGGCGTTCAAAGTATTTGAATGAACCAATAATAATATTTGGAACCCCGGAACCGTCGCCGAAAATATTTGGAACCCCGCTGGAACACGGGCGGGTTTTTTTTTCCCACTGATGGCTCATGTACATAGACAACACATGTCGCTGTGTCACAGATAAATATTTCACACCAATAAATTGATCATACGAAGGTCTGAAGATTTAGCTTCACACTAGTTTCACAGTTTATGGAAGTTATCGTTTGAAACAATAGGGTTCAAGTTCATTTTTTATCAATGATACTTCACATTTTATTTCTATTTCATATCTTATATTGATAAATATAATTTCCTGAACACTTGCCATAGTGAGTTTTAATGTTGGAACTTTCCACAGTCCTTTTATTAAAGCATCCTGATGAACGGTCTGTTATCACACATATGATTTGCAATCCGCTTGAAGAAATGCAACGTCTTGCTGCAATAGACACATGCATAGACAATTTGAAAAAAATGTAGTTGGAAATAATTTTATTTTATATAATTTTGTTTTATAATGAACATATAATAGAAAATAGCAACGCCTGCATGTTCAGATTAACATGATCATGATGCTCACTAGCCGCTAGAAATAGCCGTTATTATGCGACACTGAACTAAGGAGGTATTTTCAGTTACTCTTCCCTGTTGGTTCGAGTTACTGTGCCTGTCTCATCACGTCTCGAGAAGGAAATACTGCAAGTACTAATTAATGAACCCTTCAGACCACATGAATGCATTGTCCTCGGTCGGACACCTCACCACATACTCCTCCTTTTCTTTGTAATTTCACAGGGAAATCAAACTCAAATGAGGATGAATGTCACAACACATTTCAGGGTTTAGCAAATCCCACTCAGCGAGTCTTAACACATTGTAGTCAGACAAAATGAGAATGCTGCTTTATTATCGGGCAAGTGATCCGACTGATCCAACCGTGAGGGAAATACAGGTTGGATCTCCTCGTGCATGGTTGTGTACCTGCATGCACTGCAAAAACACTGTACAAGGAGCACATTCCTCTTTATCTCCATATCTAACAAAACACTACTGCTATGAGGAATGTTATTGGCTAAAAGAAAATATCTTTGACACGCAGTTGTATTTATATACCACTGTGTGTCCTGGTCACTGTCTGTGTGAACGTCATTCAGACAACACACTCTGATGTAGGTGAAAGCTCCCGAAAACTAAACAGTTGAAAAGCTGCTAATTTAGTGTGAAGCTTAGCTTAGTTTTAGCAAAAACCCTCGAAGGAGGTTTGACCTAAAGTGGCGAAGGCCAACTACAAACACCTCTAAAGGATTCCGTTTCTGCAGCATCTGCAGCATCTGCACACGCATTTAGACTCATTCTTGCGGATTAGAACAGGTCATCTACCAATCACAACGTTTAATGAATGTTTTCTTCCTTCCTAACAGGTGCAACAGCATTACCAGGGCCCAGGAAGAGATGTGATCTAATCAACCAGATCAACTGCTCCTGTTCTTTGACATATTGTGGTGAAAATACTCTCACATCTGTATCACCTCAGGATTAAAGTTTATACTGGTCATTTCTTCATGCTAATCTCATCTCCAAGTTATATTCAATGATAGTGTGCATTTAAAAAAAGATTTCTGATGTTTGCAATATGTAATATTTACATTAAAAGGCAATTTCATTTTATACTACCAGCAGTGGTTAACGTGGAGACCTTTCGCATCTCTACAATTCCTCCCAGCTGAAATTACAGCAGAACTGTATGCACATTCATTTGTGACTCCCAACGAGCTGACCGTGTTGTGTAAAGGTCATTTTTGTGTTTGTGTGTTCAGCAAAGTGCCTGTTTAGAGATACTTTGGTCCCATCTAGTGGACGAGGAATGAACGACAAAGAAATAATAACGCAGTGAAATCAAGCAGCTCGTAGTGCTGTATATCCAATCATCCTGCTTTTAATACAAAGTCAAGATACAATATCTACATCCATGGTTTTGAAAGGAAAGAACAGGTACATAAATGAGGGAGACGGCGTCTTCAGAGCCCTCAACACATTTCATTGTATGTTTCATGTGTGTGGCGTTTATATTTCTCTTGACACAATAATCATAAGAAATTGAAGGAATAACATATTTCATATATGTTGCACACTGTCAAGACTTCTGGACCACACATACATTTCATATCAGAATATTTCAGATACAAACAATACGTTTTGAGGGTGTGTATGAGTGTGTGTGTGTGTGTGTGTGTGTGTGTGTGTGTGTGTGTGTGTGTGTGTGTGTGTGTGTGTGTGTGTGTGTGTGTGTGTGTGTGTGTGTGTGTAGTTGGGCCATTTTTAACCCCTTTTCTTTCAAAAATACACTTGCTACCATTTGCTTCCCAGCAAACTAAATACCAACAGCTCGTCTGAGATTCTCACCAACAAGTCTGCTCTATACATCTAACTTCTCGGAGGCCCTTTAGCCTATCGGGTCTGACCGTACCCCTGTTGCTATGTTCACACCAACGCTGTTGCTATGGAGGTCGAGTGGGGGAGGGCATCAATAGGGCATAACTGTAAACTTAAGCTAGGTCTTCCTCTAATGTACATCTCTAGATAACTAGTCGGACATCAGTAATCAGTATCAAATAGCACCCTACACAGAGGGCATACTTTATAATAACAAAGCAAATAAAAAAGCACCAAAACGGACCATTGAAAATAAAAAACAAACAGTGACAATATTATACTTTAACATTGGCTCGCTAAAGAAACAAGTAAACAACATCTTATTGGTTATAGTTGCTAGATATTCCAGATAAACAGAATAAAAACAAACGTAAAAAGTAACAAAATAGAATAGTAAATATCTTTAAAAAAATCATATGAAATAAATGTGACGGAGTGAACAATAACAATAAGGCTTTCTTTTGCGACAATAACAACTACATCACATCCAATCCCACGTTATATCTTGTGCTCAGACGTATGTAACTGTACTGTATAGGACTCCAATGATAAACTGTATGTACAGAATGGGTGAAATAGCTCAAACATTGCTGTGCTCTTAAATGACCACATTGGACCAATTATCACTATATGTAAAATCAATAAAAGATATATATATATATATATCTATATATATATCTATATCTATATAGATATAGATATATATCATGTATTTGTGCAGTTTTGTGCAGTTTTACTGGGGGAGTCAAAGAGGAGAACCTAATTTGGTTAAGATGGATGTTCTGTACAGAGTGATTTAGCGACTTTAGACGGAGTTCATGTGGCGGAGGGACGGTCGGGTGACGGGAGACGTCGGTTCAATTCCCCCAACGCGCTGGATGTTTTTGAGGGGATTTCGCTCAACGTATTTACTGCCCGTAGCCTTGAATAGTATAACACCAGATTGATTCCACTGCAAAGTGTTGGATTCAAGTAGTTAAGCTTCAGAGGACGGAAAAAACACGTTTCCTCCTCGGTTCAAGATACTGTGGAATGAAGAAATGTCTATCACACGACGCGTGAACATAAGCAGCATGTCTAAGCACGAGACAGAAGTCAGCATAAGGCAAAGACGCACAGTAAAAACACACAAAAAAATCATGTCGGCGGAAAGTGGGGTGAGGACTGAAGCTCAACTCGGTCAAACGCACTTCTTGCAGTCGGCCGCTGCTGAGCCGACACAAACGGGGGCTGACGTCGAGAGGAGACGGGCTGGACGATGAACAAGGGCGGCGTGATTTACCAAGCGAGCTTTGTTGGACGGAGAAAGCACCGGACTGCAAACGAGGGTGTGAGAGGCTCTGACCGCTGTTCTGAGGGCCGCTGTGTTTCACAGCGAGGCTCCCGATGGTGGAGCGTGAGCTGATCCGCGTTCGAGGGGTCTGGTCTGACTTTGTGTTGCGCTGGATAAAAGAGGGCGGCCGTCTCTCCTCGTAGGCCACAGTTTGTGTTCACGCCCGTGTGGTTTCTCTTGGCACTGTGCGTTGGGTAAATCGAGCACCCGCATGCTTCTCCAACAGTCCTCGTGGGTGTCGAGTCCTCCGCTGAGGCCTCGCCTGGTCCTCTGCTTTAAGCTGTATGATCAGAGCTACCTGCGGTCGCAGCAGACACCTTTGAAACATAGAAATGTTCACCGGAACCCCTCAGTACACCAAGCCAGTAGATACAAAGTTGAGGATAAAAAGCCCATTTAGGGTGCAGCAAATATCCAGGCTCTTTGTGTGTTTTTTTTTTTTCTTTCCTTTTTTTTCTTTTTATACACATTTAGCATCATAATTCCTTTTCAGAAGCTGTTTGTATTTCACTTGTTCGTATTGGAGGAAGCTTGACCACAACACAAATGTATTATACGTCCTTCACACTGGAACACTGAGGTAAGTATATGGATTACACATGGATGGTCTCCACACCCACCGGCTCGCCAGGGGAACCCTGAAGAGTGTGGCTGCTGTCAGACAGAGATTTGTTGTTGCTGTTTTTTGTTGTTACTTTTCGTCCTTGTTGTTGTAGAATTCATCTTGCTTCCGGAAAAAAAAAAAAGATCAAAATGTCCACGCTCATCTCGAGCTGTCTGTCACTCCTTCCGCTCGTCGGTTTGTTTGTGGACCTCGAAGCAGGAAGCTGGATAGATGGTCGTCTCTTGGCTTACGTTGCATAGTGGTCAAAGCTACCCAGGTACTCCAGTGCAGCCTGGTAGCAGAACTGGTATTCATCCTGGGGGAGAAGTGGGGGGGGGAGGGGGGGGGGGGTTCACAGAGGCATTGAAAAGGAACATTTGAGGGATGATATAAAGACAAAAGGTAGAACTATTGCATATTTGGTTACCAGTTAACTGCATTATGCATGTTTGTCAGAGATATCTTTATTTCATCAGTGTCGTCATTATTAAAACAGTGTGTCACAGTGGTTGAGCTTTTTATGTCTAGCCTTCCTCATCAAATTGTTCAAATAAAAATATATATATAAAAATATAGCTTGGAACAGTTGAGATAGTGATCTGAATCACTGCTTTCCTTGCTACTGTCTGTCCTGATCAATGTATCCGTGAGCGCCGCATGCTGCTCAGGGTTTACCTCAGTCTGCACCATGGCGGGTCTCTGTGTGCGCAGCATTTTGACAGTCTGGAAGATGTCCACCGCCCCTTCGTAACGCATCCTTTCCAGGACAATACTCAGGGTGATGAAGACACCTGTCCGCCCCACGCCAGCACTGCAGGCGGGAAGGAAACCGTTTGACTGCAGTTTACAACGTGCTACATTCTGACCAGCCCACTGCGGTTACTATTCTGTAATTCAAATAACAATGAGGGGGTTTAATCCTGAGCCGCTCACCTGCAGTGAACGCTGATTGGTCCGTCCTGGCCAAACTGCTCCTTGGTTTTGTGCACTTGGCCAATGAAATCAATGAAGCCCTCTCCAGACTTCGGCACGCCTTGCTCTGGCCAATCGGTGAACTGGAACTGACGCACTGTCCGGGATTGCCCATCCTGAGGGAGTGAGGAAACGAAAGAAATAAGAAGTGAAGAAGGATTTGGCTGAAAAACCTGCTTACGTCAGAGTGTATCTGCTGTTTTAAGCATGTACACGCTTTATAATGGGTGGTTTTTGTTGTTGTGAGGGGCTGTATTTACAATATCCTTTTTCCCTGCTAATGATTACGGTTATCTGACTTGTGACTGTGGTTAACTTCAGGCTGTGTTTGTCGGTACGTCTGCTATTGTCAGCCACTCAGTAGGCAATTACATCTTTTCTCTTCTGCTGAGCCTTTCTGACTCCCCTTTAATGGAGATCAATAGAGCATCTGTCGATGTGGCGTCAGGGCAGGACAGGCTTAACTGGAGTTATCTATGAGCGCACACGGTCACACACACACACACACGTAGTCAAGGTGATCTGCAGACAGCGTGCCTGAATGAGTAATCTAGGGGCTGTTGCCTATAGCGATAACCCTCCCGTGTAACACGCATTCACATAGAAAACACACACTAAGCAACACACGCCACCGGTCGATAGGACGCGCATCGCACCGCCGCCTTCCAGGGGCATTGATGGATCGGGAACAGAGAAGTCACGCAGTGTAATGTTACACTGCTGTTTGAATAAAACATACGACGGGAGGACAAAGTCTTTAAACCCCCCAAAAAACGCCATGAACTCACCCTGGCGTCCGTGACTTTGAACTCACGGAGAATGTACTGGGGCATGTTGTACTCGGCCATCGGGTCCACCACAAAGTACTGGTACCTGGCGGAGCGCTCGGCGGGCCAGTACTGGTGACACTTCTCCTGAGGGAGCCGGAAAGAACAGAAATGATTGATGACATTGTGTACAGGGCAGACACAGGCCGTTATTTGTAACACTTTGTGATTTTTTTTGTAATTTACCCGTCCTATTTCTCTCAGTTTAGTGAGCATAACCACGATGGTGGAGTTGTGTTCCCACAGCATCCTCCAGAAATCCTCCGTTGTCTCAGCCAGTGGGCCCTGGGTGGCAATGTAGCCTCTCTGCTGTCTACACACACACACACACACACACATTAAGATGCCATCTCCTCCATTCATTCCTCCCGTTTTCCCGCTGTCAAGCATCGGACTGAAAAGGGGGTCAGGCTTCAGGCAAGAAGGGAAACAGTCAAAACATGTGTGTACGACCACTCTGAATGGCTGAATCATCAGAAGCGAGCGCTGTGCAGCGGGAATAATAGCGGGAAGATGTATATAGAAATGACGGATCTGACAGGGCGTGACAGGTGGGTACACTGTGGTGAAAAGCCATCCAATCCTTTCCCTCATCAAGCCGTCATACGAGGACGAGGGGGTCGGGTCATGTTAGCGTTTTCATGGATGGAAATATACCTGTATCCGTCTATGTAACTGGCGTTGATGTAGTCAGAGCCTTCCAGGCCTCTTATTGGCTGGAGGCAGACGCGGGTGGTTTCATAGGGCATAATGTTGACCAGTCGATTCTTAAATTTGTTGCAAGGCAGGTTGGCTGTGACGAACCGGGACGTGTGGGCCTTGGTGTTGGCCAGCCGCTGGACAGGGCGAGAAAAAAAACAATTTTGCATGCACGAGTTCAGCATTATTAAGGAATATTTGCTCAAGTAACTCATGTACAAAGGCACACTAGTGCCTTTATCTAGTCAAACCATTTCAGAAAGGAAAAGAAATCTCATGTCAAACTTCTCACAGAATTATGCAATGGGTCAAATATGTATTCCTAACTACTAATGGCTTTTGTTTTAAGGAGCCACAAACTACAAACCTTTAAAACCTCCTCTCTATTCCTCTTTCTATCCTTTCTCCCGCCTCCTCCCCTACCTTGAACTCCAGCTCCATGCCAGTGATGTGCTCCCCGGTCTCCACCTTGGACAGCTTCTGCATGTAGGAGAAGAGACTCCTGGCGGCCACCTCGGTGTTCCCGCAGGCCACGGCCTCCTGCAGGGCCTCGTGGATGAAGCTGTATTGGTCCTCCGTCTGCACCATGTAGTTCCGCTGTGAGCGCATCAGAGTCACATGACCGTAGATATCCACAGTGCGCTCGTGTCGAATGCGCTCCAGCATGGCATCGATGACGATAAAACAGCCAGTGCGACCAACGCCAGCACTAATAGAGGGAGAGGGATGGATGGGATGTCAGTTGATAGGATATTAGTTCTGATGTTAAATTCAAAGGAACAGTTTAGCATTTGGGGAAATGGAATTACTGGCTTTTTTTGGATGATAACACGATGATGGATGACAAGGTCTGGCCATCAAATTGAAAGCTAAGCAAAGCTAAAAGGGCAGCTGGTTTGCTGAGCACAGCATTAAGATTAGAGAAAAAAAAATCTCCTCTTTTGCTTTATTCATACAAAAAAATGTCAATTTTGTGCGAAAGCAAATACGTGCAATTCCCAAAATGGTAATTCAATCCTTTGAGATAGACCTGCGTGTGTTTACTGCACCTGCAGTGAGCGATGATAGGTCCCGCATCCGGAGGGTTGCAGGCTTTCACCCTGCGGAGGAAGTTGAGGAAGGGGGTCGGATACTCCGGCACTCCGTGGTCGGGCCAGGATGTAAACTGGAACTGACGTACCTCTCGCCGTTCACTGCTGCCACTCTAATATAAGAGACAAGCAGAAGAAAACAGATTTACTCTCACTGAAAGGATCTGTACGTGTGCCAGCTCAAGCTCTTGTTATGGGAGGTTTTGACATAAATAGAGTGCTGTTTGTCATGCCAGCATTAAACTCCATTCTAATTACTGCCAGTCATTCAAGACTACTGTGTACTACTAAGACATGACTACTTTTTTCATACCGAATTTCCGAGAACTATTTGTTTATACGTACTTAGTATATTAAAGGAATACCTTTCTGGTAGACTAGACCTGCATTTTAAACAAATGCACCCTAAGACATGAATAATACATTCCAAACATTTAATGTGCAATAGTCTTTACTCTATGACGGATTTCCTAACGTGACATTTCAGAACGCATCGACACAAACTGAGAAGCGGTGCAACACAGCTGGCCTAGTTTCTGTAAGTAGGCCACAGAGACGCGCGCTAGTCTGGCGGTCCTCGATTAGCCCTCTGCTGAGACAGAGCGCTCTGCTTCCAACGGTGATCAAATGTCAGCGCCCGACACAAGGAGGCCGACCTGGTTTGGTCACTCCATGAAGCGCAGACAAATGTCTTCTCCTCCGCGGCTCCCGTTCAGTGACAGCGGACAATTCTGTAATTTATTCAAGTTGCTCCCGGTTTCTAACCCGTAAACTCGTGAGATCAAAGCAGTCTTCAGTGGATGTGACAGTAATTACCAGTGACAAGTCGAGGGGGGGGGACACAGAAAAAAAAGGCAGTCAACTTACCTTATGCAGGGAAAGGGTGCGGACGCAGAATGTGGCCAGCTCCATTGTGTCCAAAAGGGTGACCTGAATCATCCCGTATGTCTCTGTGCCGCGACTCGGCCAGTACTGGTCACACTTTATCTACACGGATAGAGGAAATGCATCGTCACCATGACTAAAAATATAACTAAACTAAATATTTATGTGGATAAAACGCCAGCCTCGATATAAACACTGCTTTCCTAAGTTTAGAAAATAAAATGTATTTAACACAAACATTAATGCAGTTAATTGTTATTTATCAAAGGAAGGGTATCAGCTTACAGCCACTTATATCCGATCCATATATTTGAGTTGGCATCATCATCAGACAGATATCAGTTACCACAATCGGAAGAGGTGCGTCTCTAATCGTGACCGGCTTATCTACCCGTGACTTCTCCTCGAGACGCGTCATCATGACCACAGAGGCGGCCCGCTGTTCCCAGACCATTCTCCAAAAGTCCCCGAATGTCTCCGCCAGGGCGCCCTGTGTGGCGATGTAGGCATTCTGCTTCCTGTAGCCATCCACGTAGTTGGCGTTGATGTAGTCGCTGCCCAGGACACCTGCACACAAGATACCCGTGAGGCTCTCGCTCACCTGCAATCTGCATAAGCGACGCAAAATAAATGAACCTGCATGTGTGACACCAAACAGCCGGACAAACTGTTTGCGTCGGCTTTACGCGACACTCTGTCGGTGTGAATTCATGAGCTGCAGATGAAAATCTATTCTCCCCCCCCCCCTCGTGTTCAGGAGGCTCCACTCGAATGCTCTCGTGCTGTTTGTCAGTCTCACGCCACTGCACACGGCCAATCTTGAGCACTGTTTGCAATTTCAGATTTCATCCATCATGCAGCTCTCCAACTCCTGCCTCACTCTCTGTTTGTGTTCAACTCCTCTGAATACAAATACAACAGACTCTCCCATTCTGGATCTCTAAACAGCTTCTTTAATCCGCCCCCCCCCCCCTCCTCCGGTTGCTCCTCACCTTCTATTGGAGCCAGGACGACGCGCGTGTGGTCGTAGGCTATGACGTTAGCGTAGCGGTTTTTGGGCTTGTTGACCTCCAGGTTTGAGTGTTCCCATGTGAACTGCTGACTAGGGTCGATTGACTGGGAAGGAACAGCAAACACACAAACACACACACACACACACACACACACACACACACGGTGGCATACTTAGTGGTGCATTCTATGATAATGGAAAGAGTGCGTTGTAATGTAGACAAGCTACAGCAACGATTTTCAGTGCTGAATAAATCATGAAAAAATCATTTGCACACAGAGATACAAATGTTGAATACGATTTGCTTCGTGAAGCAACGGCTTAACGGGCTTATCGCCGCTGAACAATAAGGGTGCTGGTGTGGAATAAAGAATCCACGTGAAGCATCTTACCTCGTACTCCTGAGATAGTCGCAGGTTGTCGTTGGCTTTCAGCAGCTCAATGTGCTCGGCCAGCTCACTGATGGGGATGGGAGGGTGGCTCATCATGCCTGCGTGACAACAAAGGGTCAGAGGTGATGGCGACTTGAGCCGAATTACCTCAATTAGTGAAGGTCAGCAGCACTCATGCGCAAAGGCGGGAAGATAATTCTACAATCACAGAACATCACACGTCATTAAGCTGCACGTTGAGGCAGAAAATCCATTTTGATCCATGTGTGGGGACAAAGTGAGGCGAGTTTTGTTTGTTTGTAAATTGTTTTTCTTTGATAAATTGCCTTCTCTGTGATCAGAGGAGCAACAACTCGGAGAACGCACAGAACCCTAATTAGGAGCAACAGCACACGCAAACACACGCACACGCACACAAAGGAAGCTACCTATGTCCTATCTATTGTCCATTCAAAAGGCAAATAGCTACAAGAATTAATCATAGAAAAATTGATTTTTTGGCAATAAACACGATCTATTCAGGTCAGAATGTGTTCTCTGGAAGTGTAATGTATCTCGATGTGAGAGCATTTGTCCACTCTGCTGCAACAGCCATCAAAAACAGATACATTTCAACGGCTATTTTCTCCTTCAGACCGGCACTGTAGCACCCACAGTAATCGCCGACAAATTGCTCCCTTCGTGACCAAAACGACCCCCGATAGCATCAGCCGGTGCAAACAAATGTAATCTTTGAGTAGTATCTCAAAAGCACAAATCTTCTAGGCGAGAAGATGTGGGAGCTTCAGGTTTGTGCAGCCATATGAGAGTAAAACGTTGCTTCCCACGGACACTTAAAAGAAATAACACAGACCTTCATGTCAGGATTAAATGAACAGTGGCATCGTTTCACTTTATACATCCTCGCAGGTAAAGCGCTGAAGGATCTCTCCAGGGTGACACATCTTGCCACCTTTTCAACAACAAACCTCGATAAACTTCAACCACGGAAATGCAGTGGGATCAGTGATCCGATTCCTCCGGGAAATGCGTCTTTTAAATGCGGACAATTTAATGAAAGAAGTGAGAGCAAAGCCGCCTCAACCACAGCAGCTGTGTTGTGAGAGCTCGCCCAGTAGGGGCGCGGAACGGAAAAATCCATGTACGTACTTCACAATGGGGCATTAGTTGGCTAAGCTCGCAAGAACGGAATGGATTCCTCTGTGGATGATCACAGGTAACCCAGTCACCTTTAGATGTGATTATTAAACCCGGGAGCAGTCGAGAGCCACGAGACGGCTTTCCGTCGTTCTCTCTGCAGCCGGCCATGTGGACTGTGGGCGAGCCGAGATGATTACATTTTGTCACACCGGTTTCGACTCGGCTGTGACTAAGCGCTGACTGTACCTGGGTGGAGGCCATTTTGATCTCAAAAAAACTCTCTGCTGGCTGCCAGGGCGGTTGTGGTGCGGAGGTGTATTTTCACAATTCTGTCTCTGCATGATCTGACCAAGGCTAAAATTAGTCGCCTGAACATTTCACCATCAAATGATGAGCAATCGGAAGCATACCTCAGTGTGAAAATAAAAACGTGTGTTTGGGTGCCGGTGTTGGTGCATGCTTCATACCAGGAGTCTGAAAGTTAATGCGCCTCATCTCCACGGGGTCTGTCGGGTGATGGGCCATCATCTCTGCGTTGCTCAAAAGGCTCTTGGTTCCGGGTTCAGAGTCTTTGCGCTTGCTGCTCAAACGCCCGTGAGTCAAAAGAGAAATTAATTCACGTGCAAGCAACCAGGGAGAAACAAACACGCTGAGCGGTATCAGGTCATTAGCATATAGTTCAATCAAGGAAATGCCGCATTAACAGATATGGTGTTTTACAGCTTTGTACAAATTCTCTTTACAGCATCTGGCATCATGTAATTGCTGTGGGTTAAAATGAACAAAAAGCTTGACATTGGTTTAATCTTACCTGTCAGGTTTGCTGCTTCCAGTGAAACAAGAGCATGGGAAGGAATAATTAGAGGAAGAAACGGAGGAAAACAGACGGATTGTTAGAGAGAAAAATCTATATTTTGCATCAGTATTCAAAAGCTTGATGGCATGCAGCAGATATGCCAGGAATATATAGCAGGGACAGGCGGTTTCACAGCTGTAGGAAGAGGAGCACCAACTTGGTAACAAATTTGATGAATACCAGGTTGAAAGTTAAGCATTTGTGGGTGGATATAGGAACATTAAATGATTCCGGTACAAACACTATAAGTGGGAGCCTCGGGCTCTTAAAAAAACAGAGGAGCTGGAAACAACCCATTGCTACAGTATTAACAGGTACTGTGTAGCCAAAGCCGGAAAACAAACTAGTTATCCAGAAAACATTTAGAAACCACATCAATAAGCTACACAACTGGATAAGTGCTCATTCATTACTGTGAACATGGACACTGTGAGTAAATCCCACAAATACTACTAACACATTTGTGTTCATCTGTTAATGGAAATAGTCCCTCACAAATAAGTCATTACCTCCCATCTGTTTTACAATATTATTTTGCCTTTCCACATGGTTTGTGAACCATTTTAAAAGATTAACATCTTAAATAATATGAAAAGAAGCTTGGGTGGAATCAATAAGAGACACAAAACAGTCACGTAGTGCGAAGAGTGATCAGTCATTTCATGACAAACGTCCTTTAAGAGTCACTCACTTTTTGTAAAGGAGGATAGCAATGACGATGCAGATGATGAAAACTACAGCCAGGACGGGTCCAACCACCCAAATCAGTCCGTCGCCCGCGTCGAGGGGCTGGGGATCTGAATCTGGGGCAATCACGGGGTCTGTGTAGGGGCTGGCCACGTACATTTTCTGGAACCAAACGTACAGGCACACAGTCGGGAAAACATGACACTGCAAATGGTTTTCATTTCAAAGGTATTTCAAAGATACCAGACTAAATAGCAGACATATTTTAAACAGTCAACAGAGTGAATCCCACAGCTCTTTTACCAAGACTCCGTAAATGCAAAGCATGTGCAAAACCAGTAGACATGGTCTTTATTGCAGAGCTGTGCATTAGATTAAAAGGTTATTCTTATAGTTGTGTATATTAGGAAAGATTTGATCTGTATCTCTAAAACCTGTCTAATAAAAAATGTATCCATCCAGTGCTCTACACAAAGCTCATATAACGCACGGGCAAACTAGTACACTCACTCTTTATTAGGAATGGCGATGGAGGTACGCAGAGGGTATTGCCTTTTGCTCACAATGCTTTGAATGACGTGCATTTTATTGTCTTAGCATTGATGTGTGGTGACAGCCATGTGGCAGAGGAACGGAGGCAGAGAGGAACGAGGGAGTGCTAAACACAGAACGACACGGCGGCTTGCGTACCCCGGTGGTGGAGTTGAGCTCAGCCAGGATGAAGAAGACGTACTCCTGACCGGCCTCCAGGGCTCGGTTCTCAAATCCTCCGTAGTCAAGCTGGTCCCCCAGGGTGAAGAAAGCCGGTAGGGTGGCAGGTGTGAAGCGGGCTGTGATGTAAGCCCGCCGCAGGTCCACCTGCTTCTGCTGCCGAGAGTCCCTCTGCTTTTGGCTGATGTCTTTTAACAGCTGAGAAATGGGAGAGAGGAGAAAACGAGAAGCCTCGATATCTATGACTCGTGTTTTCAATACAGAAAGAGTCCTCAGTGATTTGATTTGAGTATGTGTTTGTAGGTCTCTCCCTCCTTCCAGGCGCAAACGTCGGTGGATGCTGTCATTGTTGTGATTCTCACCTCCTCGAGGTCCATTTCATCTGGGCTCTTGAGGTGTCTGATAACGCCGCGGGCCCTCCGCAGCGGAACCACAACAACATACACATTCCTGAGGGAGCAGAGAAGGAACGACAACATAACACCGGTTGCATGGATACAGGAGCAAACATGTAGCCGATTCCACCTTTCCGTGCCAACTTGTTGCACTGAGGACTAAGATCTTGTCGCTGCGGTGGAGGCCTCATCATGCCACACACCTTTAGAGAGCATGGGAGAGGAGATCACAAACCACGGCGAGGACATGGCCGTGACTTACTTGACAGCCGTGCGAGTCTCCAGTGACGGCAGGACTATAGTGACTGTGGTCTCGGTGTCGCGGGTGTGGTCAATCTCAGGGCGGCGGATGGTGATTGGCGGGGAGGTCTTGGCGGAGATGCGATGGCGAAGGCCTCCCATGTTTCCCTCCGGAGCAGTGATCTTAAAGTCGTAGCTGGTGTCAGGTTGAAGGTTGGGGATGACTGCCTTTCTCAGCCGAGCGTCCACCTCCATCTTCTGTAGGTTATATTGCACCTGGAGGAGAGGAGAGGGTTGGTGGAGTAATATAGGCGAAAGGCAAATGTGCCTATTTATATATGCTGATGGTATCCTATTGTAACACCATGCTCCCACTTGAGCGCAGTCTGCCTGAATTAAAAGAAATATATTCATCATCATGATCCTGAAAATTCATTTTGATTTTCTTGAGGTTTTCCTGGATTGTTTACAACGCTGGACTGCCCAACTGCCTCACCTTAAACCCTAATGGAAAGAATACGCTTATCCCCTTTCTTGATGAGCGCTGCACGAGAAGCTTGACTAGCATTGTTTTTTTCTATCCATCTTCACCCAAAGAACTGGGTCCATTAAGGAGCTGGCTGTTTGATTTTTTTGTATTTAAGGTAAATGTTCTAGGAACTTTTCATGTAGTTCTACACAAAGCCCAGATCCCACACCAGTTGGAACATAACTATTATTGGGGCCAGTCAAATTAATTCAAACACAGAAAACTATAATAATATGTCTTATCATCAAGCACACGACAGACATCATCTTAAGTAATAACACACGACACATGTACATGAAGCATCCAGTGGACATACAGTGAAGCGGTAGGGGTTGGTGCTCTCTGGAAACTCCCAGGTCAGGAGAACACTGGTCTTAGTGGCCAGATTGACTGAAAAATTCCTGGGCACATCTGCGAAACAAACAAACAGAAAAAGAGTCACGTGTGCCAAAATCTTTTATTCAAAATCAGTGGCTCCTCTGCTGTCCTTCTGAAAACCAGTAAAGGAAAAACCGTCAGTCACATTTGTTAGTGAGGGAAGAACACATGATGGTTAGGAGGATGGGCAGGGGATGAGGAGAGTGGATGCGAAGAGTCATAAGAACACATAGTAGACAGACCGGCTGTGGGAATCTGACATGCCACATTCTCAGAGTGTAAGGTTGTGTTTGTTAGCCTCAGAATTCAGCATGTCAGCAAAGGCTTCGGAAAAGGTGAAAGTGGAGGTCTATCAGATAAAAAAAGCTTACCTGCAGATACAGCACCAGTGACCGTTTTCCCCCCCTTGAATTCAGACTGAACACTTACCTGCCGTATCAGATACTGTGTATCCAAGCGACGTGTTGACTTTTACCTGGAGGTTTGTGATAAGCAGTGCTCTTGAAGCAAACATCCATTAACATTCAGCCTGCTTCCACTGGTGGTGAAGGGTAGGTGATGAAGGTATAAGTGAAAGAGTGGAGGAGATTGGGGGGAGTAGTCGTGTTCCCCTGGACTCTGCAGTTGGCCCAGACTTCATTGAGTGTAGTGGTTTGGAGTGAAATCCACACTAAAGGTAGCGGAGATGTGAAGCTGAACCAGTGCTTAGAAGGTGCTGAGGCCAGCCCTACCTGTTTCAAAGGCCAGGGTTTGGCCCGTCAGAGGTGGGCTGAATGGGCCTGGCCCTGCCTTGTTGTGGGCTCGTAGCTGCACCTCGTAGTCTGTGCTGTGATTGAGGCCCAGGATGGTGTAGCTGGACTCACTCGCTGGTAACGAGATCAGCCAAGGGGGAGCAGTGGGGGTTGGTATGGCTGGCGAACCAGGGTCACTAGAGGGTTTGGGGCCCGGAGCCTCTTTGTAAGATATAGTGTACTCTGTGATGACACCGCAGCACTCCTTTGGGGCCGGGGGGAGCCAGGAGAACTCGAGGGAGCAACAGGTGGCATTGAAATAGTCAGTGATTTTGGGGTATCCCAAGGGTGGGAAGATGGGAACTGTTATCTCCTGTTGCACTACATCTCCGTAGCCCGTTCGGCTCTTTGCGGAGAGGACAAAGACGTAAGAGGAACCTGGGGAGAGGTTTCTGACAGTGAAGTTTTTCTCTTTATTTGTGAACTCCACCGTGTTGTCTAAAGAGGTGTTCTTCAGGCCGAACTGCAGGCGGTAGCTCTGGATTACCACCGCAGCCCCTCGACTATCAGCGCCTGAGTCAGAGCACTCCACCGGAGGAGCCCACCGGACCACCACTGATGGACCAGATCCTGGACGCACCCAAAGTGAGGGGGGGCCGGGCACTGCAAACAACCGTGTAGGAAGCAACAAATCAATCGTAATGTATATTTACAGTTTACTGTATCATGTAAAACTTGCAGAGGAATTAGAATCGATTATTCTTCTTTACTGCTGACTGGTTCAGCGTACTGTAAATTCAGTTATTGAGTAAGTTACTAAATACAGTGCACTCGGATATATAAATAATTGCCATATGCTCACCAATCCCCAGTGTTTGGACCAGTTTGGCTTTGCTATGCGCTCCATCCCCTTTGGTGGTGTACGCTGCCACTGAGATGGAGTACAGCGTCTCTGCTTTCAGACCTCCTAAAATCAGCTCCTGTGGGGAAAAACACTTAACATAACTGTCTCTGTGTAATCTATTGGATGCACTGTGGTGGGATCAGTAGTCTGCACTCACATATTGAGTTGAGTCACCATCCTCCATCTTATCCCACAGATGAGACAAACCCAGAAGGCACCCGAGACAGATTAGACAAGGATCGAGTCAAAAGGACAAAAAGAAAAGAAAAAGGATGTTCAATGCCGGAACAAATGAACGTCTTTTAATCAAATGTTTGGTTTTCACATCACCTGTGACTCATCCAACAAGAGGTCTTTGATCCGGGGAAGATTTCGGGATTCGCCGCTTTCTGCGCGGCTGAAATGCACTTGGTACCCACGGATCTGTCCCTGCCGTGACCGCGGCAAAACTGACCGCCAGGTGACTCGAAGGGCCGAGTAGTTGAGCGGCTGGACATCCACCTGACGAGGGGCTGCAGCCGGCACTGATCCCACACAGACACACCCACCCAAATACAGAGTTAGTGACAGGCAGTCTAGCCAGTAAACCATGAACTAAACAATCAATACTCTTTGAGTCTGATCTATTGCTCTCACTCTTACCGTCTTCATCAGTTCTGCAAATGACAACGGGGCTGTTGGGTCCGGTCCCCTCTGAAGTGAAGGCTGCCAGGCTGATGTTGTACCAGCTCCATTTCTCCAGACCCTCTAACACTGTCTGGCCCTGCTGTCCCGGGATGGGAAGCGCCTTCACATCCTGGCCCTGCCCTCCACCTTCAGCCCCAGAAACTCTCTGGTATCTCAGCTCATAACCTGCCAATTCGCCATTCTGACCCTCCGTCGGAGGCGGCTTCCAATTTACTCTCAGCGAAGTGGAGCTGGAGCTCTCACACGACACACCCTGGGGGGCAGCTGAGGGCTCTGATTGGACAAGGGGGCGAGGAAGGGGGACCCAAGACATTAGGGTGGAAATAACAAGAAAGCGGAGAAATAAACGCAAAGGGATAGGAGATAAGGACCAAAAAAGAAAACAAAGAAACTGAGGTAAACTGAAATTAAAGCGCTGACGCCAGGACAAACAAAAGTGAGATACAAAAGGAGAGCAACCACATCATACAAAAGCATAATGTTAGCGACAGGAGTAGAGGATATTGACCCCAAGTGGATCGGTTAATTACACCCGAAGGAGAATGTGCATGATTATTTCTCATCCTCTATATGAATGAAAAACAAATCCCGCTCAGTACACAGGAGCACAGACAAATAAACACATTTCAAAACACCAGCCCCCCGTGAGTCGGGATAATAGAGCGGTCTGAATCGTTCTACTGCTGAATAGGGGAAGGTCTTGGGCTTCACAAAGGGATGAGCAAACAAACTATCACAGACGGTGCTGGAAGCATTTCGGAGGTAAAAAAAAAAAGAACAAGGAGTCCAAAAGAGAAAGGCACTCAGACGGCTGTTGAAAGTTGGGCTAGAATGAAGAAATGAATCATAAGTAGCCTTGCATGTTTATTGTAACACCCAAGCCACGAATAACCGGCCTTACTCCCTATAGATCCCTTTAGCTGCAGGCGCCCCTCGGCCAACGGGATGTCCGTAGACGAGCGTGGACACGGCACACACCCGCGAACGTGGCCGAGGCGTCTGTGCTGGTGTGTACGTGTGGGAGTGTAATAGTCATAGCTGACAGGTTCAAGCATCTATCCACTCAGCCGTACAGCCACTGTTCTGTTGGCCTCGGGGGACAATCTGGATGTGCACCAAAGCTTGGCGATAACAAAGCGCACATAACCTCCCAGGGAAATGAATTCTGCTGCATGAAACAGTCGGCTTATCTGGCAACCCCCCCCCCGCCCCCCCTTCCAGAGACCCCGACCTCCTCTTTCTTTCCGGGGGGGTAAAGAGTGAAAGGAGACCATCTAAAAGTGTTCAGCACATTATGTGCTCGGTTCTAAAAAAGAATCCGATTGTGAATACATAGCATGACTCTCTGAGTCTGTGGAGAGATTACACATACTTGACCAAACTTACCGTTAAAACGTAACAGCAGAGCGCCATTCACTGCAGGACTTGTTTTCCTCACGACCACGGCAACTTTATCGCTTCTTTTCCATGTGCCATTTTCTCCATTATATCCGCATTTTTGTGTGCAGATGTATTGACCCACTCAGTAACTTTATTGGCCGCTGTCGGCTATCAGTAATTGTGCAGGAAGGACAATCGTGAAAAGGGCACAAGGAAGAGAATCAAAGTTCAGCGCGGACAAAATATAAACTGGCACTTACCTGTAAACACAGCGGGCCGACCAGCATCATATAAAGCTCCTCACCACTGGCCTCTGGCCAATAAGTGGCGAGCAGTTTTGCCCTTTAAACAACATTAGACACTGATAGAGTAGAAAAAGTGAAAGGAGGGTAAAGAAAAGGAAGAGTGAAACATTAATCGGTGCTCCATCTCCATCTGTCACGATGCTGTGGTTGCGTAAGAAAGCGAGAGGCTGAGCGGAGGAAGAAAGGCACAGTCAAACATGGATGGATGGATGGGGGGGCCGGATCGGACAGATATGTTGATAAATGAGATAGATGGAGAGCTGGATCGATGGAGGACCCGGCTCCCAGGTTTTACCGGTTCAGGAGCCGATGTACTTTGACCTGTGTGTACGAGTGTGTTTAGAGAACACATTTATGCATGAGATCTGTGGACTGTGGACTGAAACACCATACAATTTAAATGTGCGGCATAAGGGAGTGCCCGAAGGCCCGATATGTGAACCCAGTGGAATTAAGACGTACTGGCTTGAGACGTCCTCTGCACCAGTTCATTGGTGAAAGCCCCGATGCCTTTGTTTGAGATGGCGGCCAGCGAGAAGGAGTACTCCGTGTTCGCTTTGAGACCCTCCACCGTGTAAGAGGTCCTCGGCCCAAAGGTCAGCTTCTCCTGAGAGAGAGGAGGAGGAGGAAGAGCATGAGGACAGGACGAGGGGTAAAATGAGCGGAGTGAAAAGGAAATCATTAAAAAAAGGACAAGACTGTCCCTAGCAGACGCGGTGGCACAGAACACCAAGGTTCATCTTTTACACGTCCATCCTTTATCCGTCCTCTCACCCCCCGTCTTCATGAGAAATCCACCCTGCACACAGGTGCAGAAAAAGAGAGTAAGAGGAAAAGGTCTCACCAAGCTGCCAAACTTGACAGGTTTGTAGAGCAGCTCGTAGTTGACGATGCCCTCCTTTGTGTACGCAGGTTCCCAGGTCAGCTCGATGCTGGTGTCGGCCACCTTCCCCACTTTAAACTTTCCCGGCTGGCCCGGGACTGGAGGAGGCAGGACCAAAATGTCAGACATTCTTTATCAAACTAAAATCGGTTATGTTCCACATTCTTCCGCATTTTTTCTGAAAACGTCTTAAACACTTAAACAGGCTTTTACGCTGAGTGATGGAACTCTACATTCATATTACGTTATCTTTGGAATGATATTGATAATTTCATACACGTAAACAATTTTTCTATGTTATTTATATTGCCATATTTTTTTAGCAAGCCAATTTTAAATAAGTTATACATGTGTTTATTTTCCTTTTTAACGTGTTTTATTATGCTAGTGGAATTATTCTTGACCTGCCTTTATATTTTATTTTTGTCCTTTTGTACTGTGTTTAGGTAAATGCCAAATAACAATTAAATGTATTTTTCAATACTATTCTTGTAAAAATGTAATTGTGAATAATGACAGATTGGTTAGCGTTGTGTTAAATTAAATTAAATGTATTACTATATTTAAGCATCTACTTTAGCTGTTATCACTACTTGTAACTTGTGGTTACATAGAAAACGACGAAGCTGGATCCATTTTAACCTGACCTATTTTTTCGCAGGATAAGAAGTTGTAGTTATTAAAAATGTACTGAAACTCAATGTCATAACTATAAATATTTTTTTACAGCTTCTCGTTCTCCTTTTTGTGTGGCAGAAAACCCAAGGCTTTCATGAGACATCTGATGGCGTGGCAGGAGCTCAGGCTTTGCTGAAATTTAAACCAGTAATACCATCTGAGTAATCATCTCTTTGCCCCTCCCATCACACAAAACCTGCGACTTCACAGCAGCTGTCACGGTGACACGAGCGGCACCGAGCTAATCCCCATTTCCTTTTCAGAAGTCTCAGCGGTTCTGTCCCAGCAGGTGGGATTTGTTCCTTCTGAAGAAGCATAGTTCCGGAGAGGTCAAACTTATTTGCATAAAGCCTCACGAGGCCACTTACATAAGTTAGTTAACTTTATGTGCCTGCACACACACAAACAACCATGTCTTCATTTGTGCTCTGTTTCACGCTCTCATCTGAACAGCAAACTTTACTCGAGCACAAGCATCTACCGATGGTTATGTTTCGCACGCACACACACAAACGCACTGACCTCCGGGCATGACTTTGACATGGACGGGGTCCGAGAAGGGTCCGTCCCCTACAGAGGTGAAGGCTAGGACCTGGATGGTGTACGTCTTCGAGGTCACCAGGCTCTGAATGGTTGTGATCACGCTGTCCTGGACGTTGTGGATCTGCCACTCGTTCATGGGCCGGGACGGGTCCATGGTGTAGTACACGCGGTAGCCTTTCACCTGCAACAGCAGCAGAGGGAAAGAAGAGGCTGCTGGATGAAGAGCGCGGCTTCTGGTTGGGGCTGGATTTTAAAGTCGCCATGTGACCCGGCTGTGTCAAGTGATCACCCTGACCCCCCCCCATAATACCTCCATACACAACCACAATTTATCACCATTAAAGTCATCACTTATGAATCATTTTGTACTTTAGTCCAGATGGTGCGGTGGATTTGTTGGTTCAGTGTTTATCCGAGGTCACTTTCACACAGTGATGTCGTCACATCTGGAGCTGTTGGACCTGGTAAATATATCTCCCTCCAACTAAATATTAGAGCAGCCCTGTAGTCCATACCATTTAATCACCTCCCCTAACCCTCCAGAGGGATTTCTTTATGGGTGGGTCAGAGTATATGTAATCCTGCTGCTATGCCATCACCCTTACCCTCCACCTCTACCACCTCTCCCGTTATTACTCTCTAATATCTTTAATCCCCATGATCTATTCTGTCTTGCCTTTTTATGAACCTACATTACACTTAGGTGGGCTGGAAAAAGGAAATAAGCCTCAAGAGGCACTGCTCTTAACTTAGAGCGGGCAGTCCAATTACATTTTCTTTCTTTAGAGGATGGGGAAAGTAGCAAGGGAGTTACAGGAGGGAAATCTATGGCAAGACACAATACCCGAAAAGGACGTGAACTAGCACACTGCAATAGCTCCCAACGGCGACTTTTATTGAGGCCTTATCAATTTAACGTTAGGTGGACCTTTGTGTAATTTGACAATGTTGTCGGCCCGAAGCAGCTGATTGAGCCTTTAAAGACTAGTATGTTGCTAATAATAACCGAAATAACACCAAGCACCTTAAACGTGAAACCGTAAAAATTGAAATTGATTCATGTTTTTTTGTGTGTGCTGAATATTGCATGTTTCCAAACAGACAAAACTCAAATGAAGAATTCCAATATGTTATGCTCATGACTTTGACATGAGTTCAATCAATATTTGCGAATATGAGCTACTCAACCAGGATCTAGTCCGAATTCTTCTGCATGAACAAACCTGACTGGACGGCACAGCAGGCTGTAATCTCAATAACAATAGCAGTTTCTACTATATTAAGCGGGCTGTTACAACGTCGTAATGGACATTTAGATTTCCATTCACTTGATTTGTGCTCCATAGACGTGCTCCTTAGAATTCTCTTTTATACCGGTGCTTTGCTAATTGATTTAGCTCCTCGATAGACGCTTGTGAAGCTCATTAACTTCGCTGCAGGCGTCCAGGTTTTCCCAAGCAGATGCAGTGGGACGTAGAAAGATTGTAATTTGGTAATACAGACTGAGAATGGAAGAGGGTATCACAGTTATTTATATTTTAGCGTAAAGACACAATCTGAGATTATGGATGTGAAGACCAGGAGACATTTACCAATTTCTTTAAAACATTTTTGCTTTTTCGCGGGTAAAACAATAAAATCAGACGTAAAGCGTTGTTTTCTTCTACTGATGAATAAATCAAAATCAAGAGAAGAAAGCTCTCCTCGTCCCACCTGTCCATTGGGTTCCTCCGGCTCCTCCCAGCGGACCATCACCGTGTTCTGAGATATGATGTGAGCCTGGACGTTGCGGGGAGGGCTGGCCGGGGCCTGCTCCCCCGTGCGGGCCTCCACGCGAGTAGAGGGGGGCCCCTGGCCGATGCTATTGAAGGCCGACACTCTGATTTCGTACTCTGTGTTGGGGTAGAGTCCCCCGATGCTGTAGCGGGTGGTGGTGATGCTGTCCACAGTCTCATACTTGCTGTCGGGCCCTTTGGCTCTGTACTGGATGATGTAGTAGGAGACGGGGTCGGGGTTACCGGAGTCCCAAGTGATGGTCACACTGGTGGCAGTGGTCTCTGTGACGATGGGGGTGCCGGGAGGCTTCGGCAGAGCTGGGGATTATCGAGTCGGGAGGGGGAGATAGATTACTTACTGCTTTTTGTCCATTTACTATACTCACGCTCTTTGTTCTTTCTTTCATATTGTATACTTTGCACTTCTACATGTACATGTTCCAAAGACCTACAATGACAATACAATTGGATTACACTACTACTAGATATTTCAGCTCAAGGAAGGTGTGAATATTTTTGTTAAAGCGTGATGCCAATCACCTTAAAAGGTGTGGAATGCAAGATAGAAATGTATCGTACCCATGCTCCTATTCTTTCATTAAATCTAGAGGAAACCCCATCAAACTGGACTCAACGCTCAATAGAGCGACACCGGCGGCGCTCGTGAACAGCCGGGAGCGGAAATGACGTCGTCGTTAGAGCGGAGCATCTCTTACTCTTTACTAAGACCTGCGCGGTGGACTCGATGATGCCCAGGCTGCTCATGGCCACACAGGTGTAGTTCGCGGACTCTCGGACGCCGTTGAGCTCCAGCACGTTGCGCCCGATGGGCATTTCGTCCTCCGTCGTGAGGTCCTCGGTGCCCAGCATCCACTTGACGTAGGGCATGGGCGAACCCACGGCCACGCAGGTGATGTTGACGCTCCCTCCCGGCATGATCTCATGGTTGGAAGGGAGGATGGAGAAACGGGGGGGCACGCGGCGCACTGGGAAAGGAGGAGAGTCGGGGGGGGGGGACGTGGGGGGAGGGAGGTGGGGACGAGAAAAGTCGGGAAGGGATTGAGGAGAAGAAAAAAAGAAGGAAGGGGGGAGGAGCGGGGGGAGAGAGAATCAGAGAGAAAGAGAGGGGCAGGGCGAGGCCAGAGAGCGAGATTGAGATTAAGAGAGAAATTGAGGGCAAGAGAGATAAAAAGAAAGGAGAGAGAGAGAGAGAGAGAGAGAGAGAGAGAGAGAGAGAGAGAGAGAGAGAGAGAGAGAGAGAGAGAGGAGAGGTAACAGGAAGGGGGAGAATGAACTTCAGGGTTTTTTTACAGAAAATTACAAAGGGATATTTCAACTTTAGTCCCAATTACTTTATGGTACTGATGATTGCAACAGAAAGACAGACATCTTGTGTTGAGCTCAACCATTCAGAGCTGCCTACTCAAAATAATATCGTGACAAACTCTTGAGTATCATTTCAACCAGGACATGACACCTATAGTCAGTTTCTCCTTATTGGTTACCATTCATCAAGCCAAATGATTCAGGTTTTTGTTTAAAGCTGTATTATTATTACATCTCTCCCTCCAAGCAATGACTAATGATGTTAAACTTTACCAGCAGTGAGAAACTTTTCTTCATTGAGATTTCTTGTACCTTGAGGTGCTTCTGCATTCGTTGAGCTCTTCTTAGAGCTAGTGTGCATCGTACGGGCCGATCAATAGGCCCTGCAAGCTATTTGTGTACCAATAAGCAGTAAAAGTGAAGTGGCAAGTCATATCCAACACTGGGTTCTGTAGAAGCTCGGTTGGCTGTGTATTAGGGAGAGATGCATCGGGAGAACTGAACTAATAGGTCACTCGCATGCCTGGGCGACTCAAGAGGGATAAAATGGTGGAGGAACACAAAGAAGAGAACGAAGAACTGAAGAGAGGGAGACAGAGAGAGACGAGGCAAGAGCAGAGACACAGCGGAGGAAAAGTCAGAGCCAGAGAGGAAGTAGAGCGATAGAGATATATATAGAGAGAGAGAGATATAGAAATAGGCAGCTCTGCTTCTCTTCCAGACAATGACAGGCAATGTAGCAAAGGACAGCCACATTGTACAACAAGATACTGTACAATACATAGGATTCATAAGTGATACAGTGTGTAGTCGAATGAATTGAAAATGCACACCAGAGTGGACTGAGGGTTCTAGAAGGGTGTTGTGGCAATTACAGTGATCATTGGACACATTAAGTAAAGAACACCAAGACAGCATGAAAGAACAGGAAAGAACGAGTGCGAGCAAAAAGAGAGATATGTGAGGTAGTATGTGCATGTTTATAAGTTAATAAACTTATGTACATGTTTCTGTCGCTCCTACACATCAGGGTGCCGACAGAATGGAGAAGAAGAAGAAGAAGAAGAAGAGAGAAAAAAGGGGGAAAGGAGGGGAAAAGACAGGGAAGTGGGGATAGAGAGAGAATTAGAAAAAGGGTTTTAGGGGAAGGAGGTAAAAGGGGGGAAGAAGAGAGGAGCGAGGAAGAAGAAAACACATGGATCTATTTAAAAACACGGCTAAATAACCAGAGTCAGGCCCATTCAGAAAGTAGATGCTTCCAAAATAAGATAAAAAGACTAGTACAGATCAGATGTTGAAAGAATAAAAGAGGAATAGGATACCCCAGGATCACAACACGGGAAGAGACAGAGAAAGTAACGGACAAACATCTCTGCATGAGAGAGAATGAGAGGGAGGGCAGACACAGAGAGCATCAGTAGCAAAACAATGTTTCTTTTAGACGACTCGAATAGATCTATATAATGTAAGAAATGTGAAACCAAATAAAGGTAAAATAAATGACTGTGGGTATATAACCTCCACTCCTTAATGTGTAACATCTTTACTTGCAATCTTCACGGGCCACTTCCCCCCTACTCAAAGAATCTAGAAACAATTGGATAGAAGTCAACATTTTTGCATGATTTCAACAAAAAAAAAAGAAAAGAAAAAAAAGAATTTGTCGGGATGCTACTGTAATTTCATGAGTAACGATAAACTGCAAAGCATTTAGGATACTTGTAGAAAACAATATTGTAAGATACCCAGAATTGGATAAAGACGTTGAAGACAAGAAAGAGACAAAGAGACAAAAACAGGTAGATCTGTTAGAAAACAGACATGATTAGGCAGGCATCTCCTCATCAGAGCATGCTGGAGACAGACAGACAGACAGACAGGCAGACAGGCAGACAGACAGACAGACCAACAGACAGACAGACTGCACCCATGACAGCTCCATGCACAAGAACAAACACGGCAGGTGCAACGCAGCATCGCACAACACCATCGCACAACACCATCGCTCCTTCAGCTTTGTTATGCCAATCCATGTGGTACAATAAAACGACAACTAAAAAGACAATTGCTTTAGCTCATGGATTAGTGTGATAACACGGGCAACAACAGCATGAAGGCGAAAGATGACCGTTTAGTATTCTGAAACATGGACTCTGCAGCATTTCTGAGAAGTGGGCCCATAACAAGAGGTAATGCTTTGTGGGAGCCAGGAGCTTCCGTCTTTATTAGCGGGGCCGTCATTAGTCCCGCCCTCTGCCGGGGGGTCCGGAGGCTGCGGGCTGGGGAGACCTTGGCACGGCCTCAAGGATTACCGCGCCGTCCCAGCGCTGCTGCATGCCCGCTCAGCTCTGTCACCACCGGGCTGACATTTACGTAGCGCCATCCGGTCCGTCTCAAGGACACTGCTTTTTTATGATCCGCTCTAATAAGACGGAATCATTAACACCCCCTCCATATCTGAAAGTTTGAATGGATATTACTCATTTCAAATGTCAGTCGATAGAGGCGTATCGGAGTGTTGGGGGAAGATAGCGGCAGCCACAGATGGAGCACAGGCTGCATTATAGTGGATTTGACCCCGGTAAAGTTTAGTGGTACTATGAATCTAGAAGATGTGCAGTATTCAGAGCCCTGGCATTAAATGCCACACTGGAAACATATAATTGACTTAAGTCAAAGTCCTGCATGTCTTGTCATTTTTGCTGAGACAAAATCAAATTGAAATAGAGCTGATTTCATTACCGAAATAAAAATATTTTAAAAAGAACAATTATTTAATCTTTTCAAACGTTATCAATGTAAAGTATTTCAAATGTCAAATAAAAAAAACAGTGAGGCTATTGTTAATTATCATAATATTGTTAAATAATTACTGATGTATTGATGTATAAGTGTAATTTCACCGTTGTAATTGGAATAGTGTGGAGCTTTTTAAATGCAGCAGTGTAGACTAGTCTGCAACAATGCATCATAACTTATAGAGTATTCTTTGTAGGAAAAATGGTAACTTGTTAAGTTAATGGTAACTATAGCTGAAAAGGAAACGTCATGGAGTAAAAAGCTCAATATTTCCAAGTATTCTTCTCAATTACAGCACAAGTATTTAGAATCTGTTTTTGAGTGTAGTACTTGATTAAATATATTTAGTCATTTTCAACAACAGGAGATCTGATGGCTCTCTTGAGTTTATGGCCTGAATAGCCGATGTTTTTCCTACGAACCTGCACATCACATTTGGCGTTAACACAGAAGGGCAAGTACAAGCATCGCCGCCAGTGCAACATTTTCACCCAATGCAACAAGTGCAGTACAATGTAGCACATGTGAGGACATGAGAGCTGAGACACAACTTTAAAAACCATGATGCATGAGAAGAAAAAAAACAAGACAGTAGCAAGACATGACAGGACAGCAAGTTCAATAACACAATCAAAGCACATCGATAGGCCTGAACACACACACACACACACACACACATACACACACACACACACACACACACACACACTGAGCCATGCTTTTTGTGTCAGTCCGTCAGCCAACAGACATGCAAACGGTGCTCCTTTCTCTTTCTCTCTCGCTCCTTCCATGCAAACATCGCCTCTTTTTAATCTTCCAATTCCGGGGTCTCCATGACAACAAGATCACACCATGCAGAAAACATTGATCGGGGAGTGAGGGCAATACCAAGGGTTTCTGCACGCAAGGCCTCACAATGCAAACAATGCACTCTGCTGCATGGGCAGACCACTTCATCATCGTACTCGCTTTAGAAAATCAACTCTCTTCACATTTGGAGACAATGTCATTTCACTTCAAATCTACACCGGTGTCCTTTTAAAGGTTTTTTTTTTTTTTTCTTTTTTGTTTCTCTCTGTTTCAATAAGTGAAGCTCTCTGAAACAAAGGAGTAACAAAAGAAAAGAAAGAGCACACCAACCTTCTCGAAGCTCTGAGGGATGAGAGGGGGTTGATGCAGAACACAATGACGTGAGGGGGGGCGGGGCGGGGGGGAGGGGGGAGAGAGAACGGGGAAACACAGAGAGAATAAAAACGGCCAGCGCAAAGCCACTCACTCTACTCCACACACACACACACACACACACACGCCAACACGCACACATCGCATACACACTCCTTCGATATTCCACTTAGCATAGAAACTGGAATTTAAAAATCTCAACATTGGTTGTAATATTTCAGCACCCACAGGCTAACGGCTGGAATCAGTTAAACAGGGTGCGTGTGGGTGCGAAATGATGCCCCTGATGTAAACATACGTGGGAATAAACTCAACCCTGATTGTCTCCAAATCAATTCAAACTGCCCGATCAAATCCGTGCATCATTTTTGCACGTTCTATCTGCCTCTTGTACAGAAGCCGCTTCAGTGGACAGATCAGTGAAGCTTCATGCAGTTAAGCCAAGGTGCGTTCCCGACACACGTGTTCCATTTGATGCCACTGTGGGGGGTCTCGCACCGAGGCTTAAGGTGGACTTGTTAAGGGTGATTGTGAGAAATACCAAACAACAGGGGTCAACATGTATTGTAGACGATGGATGAGTTAGTAATACTTATCTAAGAGCACAGAAATAAAAACAAAAAGACTATTCATAGCAAGAGCGACTTGATAATTGTGTCTTTTTGTGTGTTTGTCTGAGCGCGTGTGTTTGTGTGCGTGTGCGTTTCAGGCCTCGGGTCCTACCTCGCACATACAGGTTGGCGGGGGAGGAGTAGCGCACGCCTTGAGAGTTGGTGGCCACACACTCGTACTTCCCTTGGTCCGTTTCCTCGCTGTTCTCGATCTGTAGCGCCCCTGCAAGACAGAAAGAGAGAGGGAGGGAGAGGGGGAGAGAGGGAGCAATAAAGATGTTCAGTGGAGTTTGTAGAAAATGTTTCTGCTGCCATCGGTCTCTCTTTGCTCCATCTCCCTTTCGCCCTGAGGTGTTTGTCTGTTGCTCTGTCTCTCTTATGGTCGGACCCTCGGGTATCTCCACTTCTTTTGCTTCATCATCCAATAGAGCCAGCTTTGATGTGATGTCTGTGGGCAGCTCCTGAAAGGGACGCGCTTTCATTTACCGGTAGTTGTACTTTTAGAGAACCGTGTATTTTCTCTTTCCGTGCGCGGCAACACATCAAAAAATAAATAAAAAGAAAAAAGGTGACACAAGAAGGACCTTTTGTTGCACAGCTTTGGCGATAAACCGCGTCACCCTAAACGAGCTGTAGCTGCAAACACCGTCGGGTTTTCTTTTGTTTCACAAGGTGCTATTCTTGATTTGAGTTGTTTTTGCTCTTTCAGCCTGCTTTGTCACATTCATCTGAATCTGACTTTGACATGATGCCTAAGGAGCAAACACAAAACCATGGATTACACTCTGCTGCAGGAGGAGATGACAAAGACACAATGACACACACAGTATACTATAATATATATACATATATATGTAGAGAAAGAGAGAGAGAGAGAGACAGTCCTGCCTTCTGAGTTGCTGAAAGCGCAGAAGAAAGGTGTACATTAAATGAGAATGAATAATCATTTTACAGAATGTAGTTTATTTTTGTGTATATGTATTTATTTACATACATTAAATACGTGCATTATTATACATTCTGAAGGATCTGTTGCTTTTCTCAGTTTTGCTCAAGCAAAACAAAAGGTTCAAACAACCAAATAATAAATAATAACTACTTACAGCCCACAAGGAAAGCAGAAGCCCCTCAAAAGGAGATGTGATACCGACTAGTTTACTGCCGACATACACATGTTTTTTTAATATCCTAATGGCAAAAAAAGCTTTTAATTATTAAGTCTTAAAACCCGGCCGGTCAAGCACTAAAAGGTTCCCCCCGGGGGGGCAGTGTGTGTGTGTGTGTGTGTGTGTGTGTGCGTTTGTGATTCACAGTTTGCCACAATTTACACAATAGCTGATCAGTATATGCAGAAGTTTCAACAAACACGCTTTTGCATTCTCCGAGGAGGCGATGTTTGACTTGTTAAACACATGGAGGGCACGACTGTGTGTGCGTGAGTGTGTTCAGCGAGCCGAGGCCCTGCGAGCTGAAGCTGTCATCCATTTGCTTCCGTCTTCTGCAGTTACATGAAAGGAAAACAGCTCCTGCACTCCTCTTTCTCTCTTTCCCATCTCTCATTTCCCCGCGGTACGGGGCAGAGTCGGGAGATAAACAGGAATAAATTATCTGCTCTACAAGCAGAGGTCTCCTCTCCAGAAATAGGTGCAGGCAGAGGGAGAAGCGAGTGGAAGTGGAGGAGCGGAGGAGAGATGGAAGCTGGGAAGGTGGAGCTTTGCAGACCAGAACTCATCTGACAGCTGGAAGCGGCTCATATGGCGAAGCGTCAGCAGAAATATGAATATTGAAATGTTCTTTCACACAAAACGTGTTGTTACCATACAAGGAAAAGACAAAAAGCTGTAGGGAAACAGAAGGATAACAGAGAAGAAGCGGGGGGGCAGTTTGTTAGTGAGACTTGAAGCCGCTGATAGACGCAGAATGAGTCGTGACTTCAGTTGATTCAGCTGTAGTGAGAATGCGGAAGGTGTATAATGTCCGCCGGGCTGAGACTCAGCCGATCAGATGACAGAAGATACGGCTAACCTGATAGCTCTGCCCGAACATCCAGGTCAAACAGATCACCTGCACCCCGGGTCCCCCGAGTTCAGACAGGCGGTTTTTAACACAGTTTAGTTAAAAAGAAAACTGGAGAAGATATTTAAAGCAAGTTAGCCATTACGTATGAAATGTCTGCACCAATTTGGTGATTAACCGTTCCATTATTTAACAGATAGTCTCAGGTTCTGAGAAATGAGCTGGTGCTTTAGTTTTATATAACGATAAATGATAAAAATGGTGACAGGTATTCTTCACAGTTTCCTTACAGTTTATTGACCTAATGAGCCAATAATATTATTAATTAATTAATATAATCATTACTTGCTGTAGAGATTCGTAGCACATTTATCAGTGCCCCTAATTTATTTAGAAAAACATGAAAATCAGTAAAAGTAAAAACGTGATCTTTGACCAGATTTGTTTCTCCTTATTTAACATTTTAAGAAATATACATTTTTTAGATTACACACATATATTTTTTCATTTTCCTGGCAAATGTTTTTGTTTGTCCGTCTGTTAATCAACAGGATTGCTCAAAAAGAGATCAAACAAGAAAGACCGCAAATAACCAGTGGGGCTAAATTGTGTTATGAGCGATCCTGCCTTCAATAAAAACACCTATAACCAGTTTGAAGAGATGCCTGAACAAATGTATTTTTGGTGTTAGTCCAAACGGGTGTTTTTATGTAAAAGTGACCAAGAACGGTGACCGTTACCATAACAACGACCTGTGATCAGATCACAGTTCTCCGTCAAGAAGACAGGTCAATCCAGTTCCCCGTTCTGTGTGCCATCGGTTGGACTGCAGGTGCACGAAACGTGTTGAATGCTCAGGCGAACTCCCCACATCTCCGTCCCAAATGTCCCAGAAAGACAGACAGACAGACAGATCGTCACAGCAGGTGGCATGAAAAAAGGGTTGGATGCCTCGGTTGAGGTATAACGATGTCAGGAGAAGTTCAGCTCGACATTGTGCCACGTGTTTTTTTACCCTGAGGAAAGCGGATGCCGTGTGTGTAGTTCCCATGTGGGCCGATGGCCACCGTGTAGACAGCTACCTGCGTTTGGAGGACACCCCGGTTGATGGATACTTATGGGCTGTGAAAAGCTTAGGGGTTTCTTTTGTGCAATTTGAGTGCAGTCATTCTCAATATCATTTTTCATCCGGGCCCAAACGGGCCATAAAAACATGTTCAGCACCAAACGGAGGAAGGAAACGAAAAGAGACAGAGAGAAAACAATAATTGTGTCCCAAAACAGATCCTTGGCCGCGCTCCAACAACAGCTGGCAGCCGTCCACTAAATCAGAGGCGAAGCTTGGAAGGTGCCCCCATTAAACAGATTTTAAGGGAGCGTTTCATCCACAACACATCTCGTTGCTATTTCGTGTCGCTCAGACGTAATTGATTTCTTCCAAATCCTCGCGCTGCAGTGTTTGGTTCATTATACGGCGCATTGTGTTGTTCAGCTTCGCAATGTTTCAGGTGATTTCAAATCCTATTAAGCCCTGAAGTGAATCTAACTGGGCCATTGGTCCTGCTGCGCGGCCTCACGTTCTACACCTGAGAATCAGTGTCATGCCTCCCAGAACAGACCGGGCGAGAAGTTATTATGATTCTGTCCATCCAAATGATATTTCAGCTGTTATTAAGAGAGAAAACAGTGAAGAAAACTGCTTCAAGATGCATAGAGAGGCTTTCGGGCGGTTCTTTGTTAGCGCCAAGGCCACCGCCAGTTTCTCATAAATTATGAGTAGAGAATAGAAAAACATTTGCATGGTGTTTATTATAATTATGGATCACTGCACTGCACCCTCTGGTATGAGGCTTTCTACTGGACTAACTGCAGCTTTAACGTCAAAAGCTTTATTTGTGCGCATATTCTCACCTGCATCGATACAGTAGCCACAGGCTGGTGGTTAAATTCCACCCACACGCAGTGCAGAGCATTTCACACGGAAGCAATTCCACTTTTGGTACCTGGTAAATTACAACGCTGAGTATCCATTTTTTTTACTGCAAATCACAGAGGGATCGGGTGGAAGAGCTAAAACTGGTCTGAGCACAGATAACGGCCTTCCCACAAACACTACGGTTGACTGTTTTATTAATAAACCCCCTCAGCAAAACTGTGATTGTACAATCACATTTGCAGACATTATCGTAGCGAATGTAACTAGGGAATGGCGGGCGCGACGTGCTTTGCATCTCTACCTTTAGGTAGATGTATGTAGATATATGTAGATGCAGTGTATGACAGTCATTCTCTATTTTGGTTTCTTTTTTCATTAAAAAAACCAAAAAAGAACTTTGTGTTTGCTAAATAAAGCTGCAAACATTAGCATGTTTGGTCCCCATCATCATAATAGTGTACATTTTGCAACCTTGCAATACAAACCAATGCAGAACCATTATTTATTTATTATTAAAGTCTCCTACATTTTATCTTTTGCGTTGCTGCATATGATTTTGTATGCAGCCATCCATTGCATATTTAAGAGTCTTTTATATTTAGTTTAGGACAAGCACAGACCCGGGGCTTCCAACTCACCCACAGAACACTATTCATACGCGCTCTGTTCGTTTTGTCTTTCTTGCTTTAAGTGTTTTTAAAAGTGTAAAAATAAAAAGTATTTTAATTCAAACTATTGTTTCACTGCAAAAGTACACTAAAATACACTTCAAGTACCAGAAAGTCAAATGATTAATTATGCAGAATGGCCCTTTCCAGAGTCATATATATTAAATCACTATATAATAATTAGTTATATTAATGTATTCAGCACTAATGCAGCTCTTGAAGGCCGGGGCTATTTCTTGCTGATGGGTAATTATAATAGTTGTTTATATGTTGATTTATATTGATAATCGAAATCTATGATCAAATAAGTAGGACTCTAAAAAGTAAAATATTTCTCTATCCAATGTAATGGGGTAGAACCACATAGAAAATAAAATACATACTGTAAGTAAAGTATAAGTACCTAAAAATGGATAAAAGCTGTACTTGAGAGATGTAATAAATGCAGTTACACTCGATGAAACCAGATTCTTGATGTTTCAAAAATGACTGAAATGTGGTTCAATCCGACACCGTTGTAAAACGCATGCGTGGGGCTTGACAAGTGCAGCGACAGCAGCAAAAAAAAAAATGAAAGTGTCAGACTTAAATTTGTTTCAGCAGCATAAAGGCAAACTGTGCAAACGGAGATGCAGACACGAGGTTGACAGAGGGCACAAGTGATCAGCGGAGGATCCTGGCTGACAGAAGGACGATATCGGAGCTGGCAGGACGGAGGAGCGCCGCACAGAGAATATGGATGAAGCAGCAACAAAATGGTTTCTCCTCACCATCACTTTCATTTCCCCTGAGGACGGCGGAGTTACAGCGCCTGAGAAAATACGTATCTGCCTACACTTGTGGACACGGCATCATCTATATAGAAGAGCCTAAACAAAGCTGAGCTTCTAAGCATGAGATGGTGTTCTGTATTCTTACCTCGATCTGTCTGCACAGGCACACTCCTCCTCTTTTTTTGGAGTAGCAAAAACGCTTCCCTCCCTCTTTTGCCCATTACTGTCGCTGGCAATTTAAGGGATCTTAAATTCAGATTTGACGGCGCTGAGCTCATTTCACACAATTTAAGAGTGGGTCACAAGACGAGAGGAGTAATAGTTAAACTCTTCTGTGTGTAACTATTGATTGTGAGAAAATATAATCTTTTTTTTTTTTTGGTACATTGATTATTATATTAAGCTTTTATTTCAAAGCGGATTTACTTTATAATTGTTTCTGAACTTTTCTTTATTGCTTGCTGCCATACATTTACTTTTAATTTCTGACAATGGAGAGATTAGTGCGTTTAAATTGTGACCTTTTTGTAACCCTCACCCCCCCCAATGTTCATAAAAACAGCATTTTATTCTAGGCTTAAAGTATGCACATTAGCCTTTTTTATAGAATTGGCTTTAAAAAGGTTTTACACCCCCAAAGGATGTTGAAAACTCAAAGTGGAGCATGTAATCCCTCAACGATAACAAAAACACGATAATCACCACATTTAGAGCAACAGGGATATCACCCGATACCCAAGTGAAGCTTTAGAAGCACCGCTTGTTTACTCATTTTCAATTGAAATTATCGGACTATAAACGCTTGTCTCTCTCACCTGATCGGAGCTGTTTGATGCGACCCTGGTTACTGACGGGGTCGACGGGGAGGAAGTCTTTGAACCAGGAGATCTCCGGGTCGGGGATGCCGCTGGCTGCGCACAGCATGGTGGCCGTCCTCGTCCGCTCCACCACCTTCAGCTGGGGACCCATGTCTATGCTGGGGAAGCCGAATGGCAACAGGTCCTCTGGAAGGATGAACAGAAAGAAATAAGGTCAAAGAATTGGGAGTACAGGTGTGGCTGTTGGAGGTGTCATTAGATTTACAGGTATTTGGCCAAGAACCAACGTACTGGACGCAATGAAATTGTTAGGCTAAGGGATTTTGAGGGGAACGGACATTTTTGTGCCAATTTATTCAGTGATTATTTGCAATCATCTCACTGAAAATTATATCTCAATGTTGGTGTAAAAGTGATCACCAACATCATCAAGTTGCATCATTGCGGGACCATTTTTGACAATACTCATTTATTTTTGGGGTTACTTATCTGCCTGCACAGAGACAGAGTGAACACAGCCATGCATCGAATCCTTACACACCTTCTTCCCAGGTGAATAGACTTGCTCACACACATGCACAGGGATGTGAGACCTACTGACCAACCCCCTCCTTTAACATCTGCAGCGATTGGGACCAGGACAGATTACCTACTACTACGCTTCCTCATCAAAGACGCATGTTGGCTCGTATGCGGATCAGGTGATCCAGGAGGCGGCACAGCCACAACTAGCTTTTACTGTGTGTACGTGTGTGTGACAGGCCGGTTCTACAGAATGTATAAACACACCGCCTAGTCAGCAGGAGCTACTTAAGTGCTGTACGCACACACCTATGAACACAGCCAGAAATACACACACAAACACACACAGGACACTTTTCGAAACACAGGTGTTTGGTGGCAGTGAACTGTGAGTTTGCCATGGTGTGGCTGTGTGTTGTGTGGTGGTAATGATTCCTGTCTAATAACTATGCAAAGAGCTGCTCAGAAACAGCCGCAGCAATTAGAATTTGGGATCAAGAGGAGGGGCAGGGCACTGGGGGTAATAAGGACCTGTTAGCAGTAATTGTTAAAATGTACCAACGATTAGAGAGGCCGGTCTGGGATGTGTCTGCATAGCGTCTGGATATGTCTGATTATGTTGTGGGGCAGTGGATAAATGTTTGTGTGTGTGTGTGTTCGTTTCCTGTGGCTCTGCGTGTGTGTGTGTGTGTGTACATATTTGTTTCTATTGCTATGTTCTCATTAGCATCTTCACAGATTTGTGCAATACGGGTGGAGAAATGTACAGACTCGTCCACACATGTCCAGGAAAAGCCAGGTGTGTGCATGCAGAAAAGCAGTTGCTTAACGCACAGTTTCCGTGGTGAATGGGATTAAGCATCTCAGTGACAACAGTCCAGATGGCCAGACACGTAATCAAGAATCCATCCGCACTGCTGCTTCCTCCTCTCCTTACCCTTTTAACCACTCTATCCCTACCACAAACACACACAGACACCTCCCCCGTACCTGGGCCTGTAATTATATATTCCACTTTCCTACAGCGGCAAAGCAATTACGAAGATGGCAATTTGCTCGGCTAATAAATCAAAACTCGCAAGAGCCCCTTGATTGTCAAGCACAGCAACCCCCCCCCCCACACACACACCTCCCCCACCCCCAAAAACAAAGTTTGCTTGCTCAAGCCGGGCATCACTGACATATCCGGAGCCAAACAGTCCAAGACACAGACTGTGGCCACATCAACTGCTCCTCTCCTCCTCCGGGCCCCCTGCTACCTAACCACATGACAGAAGTGCACCATCTGTCTCCAAATGCTCTGCGATGGGGATGAGAGGCTGAGTGGAGATAGGATCTATCGCTCCCTTTCTCTCGTTCCACAGTCATCGGCTTTGGAGCGAGCGCGGCAGATAGGATTGTCAAGCCGCCGCGGTGAGGAGGATGGAGAGGAGGGGTGCCGCGAAAAAAGCCAGGAGAGCGATCGAGAGTCTGGTGATGAGCCTGGATTCTTTGGTTAGAGGTGCGATCTTGTAGCAAGCTACGTTTCGATATCAGCCAACTGAGACGCGATTGGAAGGAGAGGACCCCCCCCTCCCCACCCCTTCCCGCTCCATGCCATCCCTCACCCTCATCCCCTGACTGATCAATACTAATGATCCACCTGAATGGACACCAGCGGTAGGGCCATTGATGAAACATGCAGGAAGAGAAAGCAAGGAGAAGGGGGTAGATCGATGGGGAGGTCATGATGAGAGCTCCCCCGAGGCAAGGAGAATGCCAGACCTACATCTGCTCCCCTCCAACCCCCCCACCCTGCCACCACCCCCAAGCCCACCTCTCTCCTGAGAGGGTTCAGATGGTCTTTTTTATCACCCCTCTGGCTACTACTACATGGACTCCCTGGCTGTTAATTAGAGCACGCCACGGCGTGTGCATGTTGGCGGGTGGGTTCAGTATCCCAGTCAGGTCTTTATCTGTATACAGTAGGTGAACCTCGGAATGAATCCTTAGCGAGACGTAAGAGAAAGAAGGACAGATGATGGATAAATTCATTTTTAGATACCCTCGAAATAAGAGTACAAATATTTTGTAAAGAAATAATATCCTATTATTATTTTTACGGTTTGTTGTTTGGGGCTAGAACATATTTATAATTTATAATTATATAATAATTTATGATAGTTTAATCCTGTTTTGTTTTCAATAAATATTATATATTTTTAGACACATTGGATGTGCGCATATATTATCGTTTTATAAACTCCACATCTAGTGCCATTTTACTGTGTATGAGGTATGGAAGCAAATAGAACAATGACACTGTATTACCGGATGGACAGACACATGCACAGTGTGCGTGGAAAATTCCATGGAATGTAAATGACTAATTAAATTTAGAAATGATGGTGAAGCTCTGGGGGTCAATTGAATATGGATCACTGATGAATGAACGGAAAAATGAAACTAACACACAGCTCACGACTCGCACTCTGTTCTGAAAATATATACGAGCAAGCAGGATGATAGTTGGACGTGGACGTTGAAGCAGAGTTCACCGGAGAGGAGATTAGGGGGCTACAGGTATTCAGCCAGGCGGCCGGATGAGTCAGCGACTGCTTGAAATAGATACTGCGGACATGGCCTTGATCACACTTTTCACCAAATGAATCATTTATCAAACGCAAACACTGCTGCACAAAAGCGCCGCTGTGTTCCATCTCCTGGTTAAATTGATAAGACGGCCTATGGAAAAATGCGCCATGTGTGTATAAACACTGAATGTGTCAACAGCTTTTGGGGGAACATTGGCAAAGACCAGCAAACATTGTTCCCTGCAGCGTTGTGTTTGTGTGTATTTGTGTGTATCAAGAGGTTGAGAGCTCACATTTTGGCTTGGTTGTGTTTGCAGAAGGGCAATCAGGCCTAGTGCCCGAAAACAGTTGTTGAAGCCAACCGAATCTGGGCAAATATGCGATTCATGCATGCGCGTGCAAGCGCACAAAAACTCAAATACTAGGAAATACAGACACACAGAAACCCACGCAGACACAAACACATAATGCATTTGATGCAAACAAACAAACATGAATCCAGGTTTTCCTTTCCGTTCTCTCTCTGTATTTCTTGAGTCACCCAAAGATTCTCACATGCAGACGCACCAGCTTCCCCGGAGAAAAACAATGACCACATGGATGAAAGAAGCCTCCCCCCCAAAAAAGATGATCTCAGGGAACCTGATTAAGGATTAACCAGCCGGGGCTTGTCACTCTTAAGAAGGGTGTATTGCTTTGACCCATAGACTGCTGAAGGGGAGCACTTTAAATGCTAATGGCCCTTTATGATAATAGATCACATTACAATGCAGAATCGGATTTAGTATTGTAGATGAATCCCACCGAATACCCACATATGTCCCCAACCGGCCCGAGCAGACGGAGACTAAACACGCGATACCTGGCGATCTCACACACACACACACACACACAACACGTTACATGCAAACTTGAAGAATAGACTGCATAAAAAAAAGGAATAAGAGTAAGGAAAACTGGGCGGATGAAAGAGCCGGTTCTCCACTCAGGGAGTGTAATCCTCTTGCAGGCAGAGTTGATACTCTCCGTTGTTTCCAGACCAAAATGCTGCTTGAGCCGCCGGCCTGCCAAAGCAGCTGACGCCGGGGGGGAACCACTGATCTGACTTTGTTGTTCATATGAAGGGTGGTTGCCGTGGTGGCAGAACGTCTCTCCTCCCACTTTTCTCTCTCGCCCACTTCCTCCCCCATCTCCTGCCTCCCTTTCTCCTAAAATGGGACACTGAGAGGTGGCTATAATCAGGATTACAAACCAGCCGCACACACACACACACACACAAATATGCGCACGCACGGCCATAAACAAAGAAATCCATGTGCATGCGCACAGATACACAGCTGCAATGATGAGAATCTCTCGCCCACCAGAGGTTTTCAAACATGCAGAGCTGCAGATATTCCCTCGAGGCAGAACAACACAACTGCAGTGTCCATAGAAAGGATCAGTTTGGACGGAACAGGGATGGGGTGGGTTGGAGGGGTGGGGACCGTCAAAATGCAAAGGGTGGGGGCGGTGGGGGAGTAGAGAGAGTCGGATAGACAGTGAGGGTCAGCCAGAATAGATGGTGGAGAAAATGAAAGAATGAATAAAACAAGAGAGATGAAATTAGAAACAGACTTTGCTGTGGGCCAAAAAAAGGCTGCTAGTCAACGACAGGAAGATATATGCAGTGAAAAGAGGAAGGAGGAAGAAGAGAAGGTGATGGGATTTACAAGAGTGATGCTGTTAAAGGCACAAAAGTCTTCCTGACCATAACCTACCACATCTCCATCCATTAGGCAGCCTACACAGCGGTGGTGCATATCCGGTGGCAAACCACCGGCCCCCCACACTGCACAACGTTGCTCTTAGTATCGGTCAACCATTGTACACAATGATGCCATGAAACACATCAGGGGATGAAAAGACCTTTCGTGGGTTCGGTCCGTAATGGAAAGCTTCCTTTCTTTGCCCTCAGTGGTTGCTGAACCTTTTCTCCGTTGAAAAAAGACTTGCCCAAGCACAGCATTTGTGCACTGAGAGCCTTCTTTGATGACATCATACAGCACATTGGTTTATTATTTTTTTGGATTGCACGGTTGTATGGCTTCGGGTTTAAACTGTCGAATAGTGGCGAGCACCAATTTGTATTTTTGTTAGGAATAGAATTCTGGAGTGGAAGCAACATGAAAAAAGCATGAAATATCTGTCATTAAAAACTCAAAGGCACAAGCCTTTTACAGGGCAAAAGGAAATTACATAAAGTCCACCATTTCTCCCAAGGAGCTTCTTGGTAACAAAGAGCCCCAGAAATGACTTTACTTTTTGCATTGCCTAATCCGCTAACAGCAGGCTAATAGCAGAGTACCCTCAAGTTTATGCTTTGTAGAAACATCAGAAAGAGATTCAATGGTTTAAATACGTTTCTAATTATGGTTCTTTGATGATGAAGCATTCTGAAATTGGTGCAACTCTGCTCACACAACTGACTGCCTTCGCCTCCATAACAATTTTTGCTATGGCTTATTGGTATTAAAATGATATTAGAATCATTTGTCATACAAATTTGACAGAGAGGAAATTTCCAGAAAACTGTAGTATTGTTAATTGGTAAAAAATACTCCTGGCAAAAAACGTTAAGGCTACCGTTGTATGAAGCTGGAAGCGATGTAAACTGAGGTAATCTTTCATCACCGTATCAATTATTCTATGATACAGTTATTTTTTCAAAATTGTTCACCGGTTCTTTATTAAAATCACTAATGTAGTGTCTCCTTGGGTGTAATTAACTGGGTGGCATTGATGGTAATATTCCCCTAAAGCCCAGTCACATGTGCATCGGTATACGCTGTCTGAAAAAGAAAACTATGGCAACAAACATCTCTCAATCTGGTTGACCGATTGTTCAAACATTGTTACACAATCCGCTAACGTATTCATTAGCTGATAAGGAAGAATCAAAGACTTTCAGTTGTCACGGAGGGGACAGACAGGGGACACAGATCTCAGTGAACGAAAAGCCAAACAGGAAGAGTCCCGCACGCCGAGCGGCTTGCCCCAGAGGTGAAGTCGACGTGGTAATGCGCTTTAGGTTGGGGCTGTGTGTGCAAAGACCACGGGCTGCGTAACAGATGGACAGGAGTCTATTCCCTGGGCTACCGGCCTTCTGCGTACCTCACAGCCCTGCCAACTGCACAGTCCTCACCCCCCCCTCCCCCGTCCTCCCCCACCCCCACTCCTCCGACACCCCATTTCATCTCTATTGTTTCACACCATCCTGTGAGTGTTACTTAACTTGCCCCCCCCCCCCCCCCTCATCCTCATCATCCTGCATCATCCTCCTTTTCAACCTCGCTCGACTCCTCCTCCCTCCGGCTTTCTCTTCCTCAATTTCCCCCTCGCAGAAATGAGTTTTCTGCCAAACCGGGGGCCTAATCCCGTGATTTCTGTTCATGTAGTACCAGCCCGAGCGGCCGTCCCTCTATTACTTCATCCTCTCCAGCTGTGCTGTGCGGAAGCCAAGGGCTCAGATCCCAGGCATGCCGCCACGAGCTGCGACCTGCTGCAACTTTGAGCCCCAAATTGGTTACGTCTCCCTTCCGAGGAAGGCCGCGCACGTCAGATCAACACCCTCACTCTGGCAGGCCATTGGGTTGTTGAAGTACCCTTTAGCTAGCACGCTAGCCGGCCCTCCCTGTGGCCGGATCACGCTCTGTCGCACTCTGAGGGACTATAAAAAGAACAGTGCACTGCAGTTTGCTGTGGAGGGTGCGGCATGGCTCTATTGTCACATCTACGACCGACAGCTCAGGGAACCGGAGACAACGGTTGTAACCAGGTGTGTGCACGGTGAAATGTGGGGGTTTGATGGGGCGCGTTGAGGGGGGGGGTCTCACCTCTGATAATGGCCAGCTTCGCAGTGACAGACACCTCTCCTTCACTGTTGCGTGCCACACACTCATAGATATTCTCATCTCGAGGTGCTCTGAGCGGTTGGATTCTCAGCACAGCACCTGCACCATCATCAAACTCTACAGTCTGGACGACCACAGAAGCAGAGGAGAAGACGCGTTAGTCACAGCACAGCGAACAGACGGATACCGATAAGAAGAAGAACAGCGACTGCAATGTTACGTAACTTTGCATAGTTTTCTTTTACTGTGTTAATGCAATAACAATTATAGTGTGATATTTGATGGATTTCCTCGAAGGACTTTTGATTTGTTTGTACTGGTCCTACCCTCCACCAGGTCAGGCTCAGCTCTCGTCCTGGAGCTGTCAGGGTCTCAGAGCCTGCAAAAAGACACTGCAGCAAGGTAGATACTTACCAACCTGGGCGGCTTCCTCTGGTGGATTATCTCTAACCACTAGTCGTTCATCAACATAAGATCTGTCCTCTAATGTGATTGTAGAATGTGTGCATTTTGATATGAAATCTGCTTCATATTTATATGTGACACCTTGGGCATTCATTTTTTTTACCATAAATTTGGTCTTGAATGATTACATTATTCATTTGTGTTATTTTGAAGCCAAACACATATTGAATGTGCTTATTTATTCACTTGAAGAGAATTAACTGACAAAAAACTGGCACCTCTCTCATGTCTCTACTTAAACAGAGGCCGTTAGCTACAAGGTGCTCCTGTTCGCTATGCATTTCTAAACCTGTCAACACTTGGAGAGTGCTGTCAATCTTCTCATCAAACTGTACTTCATAAATGCATTTGAACTGGGCCTTCTGAGAAACTGTTGTAAAATTGCAAAACAGAATGACAATTCCCGTCAAAAGCAATATCTGATCCTGCACAAACAAACATTGAACGATTCACCGTATCTATCTAGAAATATACTGGATACCCAAGACATGGTAATTGTATACATCGCCATGTCTTTATCATAAACTGCTTTCTATTGATTATGCATTTGCAGAAAGGGTTGACCATTGTGCATTGTGACAACCACCTCGATGCGCTGGGAGTTGACCTTCTTGCCCTTCTTGTTCCAGTAGACGACAGGCTTGGGATTGCCAGTGGCCTGGCACACAAATGATGCTACACCCCCTGACACTCCAATCTGGTCCGTTGGAATCTTGGTGAAGGTTGGAGGAGCTGAGAGGCAGAGAGAGAGAGAGAGAGAGAGAGAGGAAGAGAAAACACACACACACACACACACACACTAGCATGAATATTCATACGCTAACATCCAGAGAACATCAAACTGACTCCACAGCCTGCAAAGGCCCCCTGTTGACCACGCCCCATTTCACTGTCAGTGACCGGTCAGGCAGACGCGTGTTCTGATGGCTGCGTGTTGTGCTTACTTCCTGGGTATCACCTAGAGGACACACTGAAGGACTTCCTGTGGGTCATAAATAAAAGATGGGGTTGGGCTTCAGAGGAATACATCTCTCTCCCCGTATCTCTCTCTCTCGGTCTGTCTGTCCATCTCTCCCTCCGTCTCTCGTTCTGCTTCCTTCAGGGCAGGAAATCCTCAAACTGCATGCAGCACAAGCTGTCACGAGACGCACGTGTTTCCCAGGTAGAAGAGGTGTTGGCTGCACATTCACAGCATGTAATTGGTTTAAATGTATAAATATCAGAGGTGCCATTCTGTGCCTGCATACCCTAACTCATATAAGGGGATTTGCACTCGCACGTGTAAATTCTGATGATCTTAACTACTACAATTCATTTTACAAACACGTATTGTTTCGATTCCCAGCTCTGCTTCAGCGGGGGATTTGAAGAGAACATTTTTTTCTTTTTTTATGATGCATCTCATGTGGGATATAAGGGTGCAGCAGTTACCTCCTGCAAGAAAATAGCAATTTCTAAGTGTGATATTGAGCCAACAGTACTGAACGTATATTTTTCACAGTGGCTGAGTCAGATCAATCTAACAACTTCATGAACCCATCCCCTGCTATCCTTCTGTGGCCTGTTGCCATGGTGCCCAGCTTAACTCCTCCTCAGCTGCAGAATCACTGCCATCCATCAGGGTGAAGTCAGGATGACCCTTACCATAGCAACCTAGATCTCTCCTCCCACTCCCCCTGTGTCTGGGCGGGTGAGGTCCTGCCGTGTTGATTCAGTTCTGCTCTCGAGACGGACCGGGGACAAAAAAAAACTGCTTAGCGATCAATCGCCAGCAGATTATTTTGGCGCGTTTCCGTTTTTCCTGCTCACTTCCCTGGCTAACAGCCACTCTGAGCACCTTCCAGGTTACCAGCAATGCCACGACAGTTACTGGAATAATGCAGTGACAAAGTACTACTCCTGTCCATGCACGCTCCAATGTGTTGCCTCTAAAAGACAAACTTTGAATGCCAGAAATGAAGTGGTTTCATTTTGTGCGTGTGCCACAATCTTCAACAGGAAGAAGCAAAACGCTGGCGCAGCATAGCCAATCACGATCAATTCATGCTCACCATTTTAGAACTCAAGATCGGGTCATTTCCTGCCTGTTAGACTCTTTGCAGAAGCGCACAAAGAATTGCGCAAATTGCCATTTTCCCCTGCCAACAACGACGGAATGGGAACTATCCCCCCAAAAATGTCATGGCTGAAAACTGCCTTCTCCAGCCGGTGGGATTATGAATTAATTTCATGTCCTTCTTACGGCTTCTACATGGGTTTCAGTGGCTTTATGTTGAGTCCAGAACTGTGTTCTCTTAAATGCACTTCAACACCAATCCTCTCGCAAAACGGATTGCAATGTTACCACTTAAGCCTCTTCTCAAAGCCAGGGGAAAGCACTGCAAGGTTGTGGCTCTGGATGGATTCACATTGAACAGAAAATTGTTTGAATTTGCCGGTTACATAAAGCTGCATTGGAAATGTGAGACTAACAGGGGAGCTTTTGTCTCTAATAGCAGATTTCTCTCCGTTGCAGTAGGAGGTCTACCACAGATCTACCACTGCCCTTTTTAATGGAACACCTTTGTAACCAATATTCATTTGACTGACTTACACAATGAAGCATGAAACCACCAGCAGAGATAGTCCAATAGTGCAGTTAGCATTCCATTTACGTAGAAAATGATTTGTTTCAAGTTTAATTTGTCGTTAAAAAAAATGGTATTTGAGAAAAAAAGTGTAATTCCATTTGAAATGTTTAATTGGTGCCTCGTAGAAACATTACTTCTGATAAACCAGCTTTGCTTTGACAAACCTTTACATTTCTTTCAATAATGCACCTTCTTGTTCGTACTTGCTGTCAAATCTGTTTGCGTTTCACAGCCAAATGTGTCCAACAAAAGAAATTATGTGAACAAAAGATGATGACGACAGTTGGAGTAAACTGGGACGTTCGTGTTTACACATAAAAAAAGGAATTATTCATAACTATATTTGCATGATTTTGACATTGTTTGTGTCTGAAAGTTAAATATGAATCATTTTATGTGGGGGGAAAAAGTTTTGCAAAAGACAGTTTTGGAAAAAGTATCATAACTGCAATGAATTCATTAATCTTCACAAAGGGGAAAGATTTAATTTGAGCCATCAAGTTAATGAAGACAAGGATCTCACCTTATTGGATAGAAACAACTATTCAAAAATACAAAACTTTATGATACATTTGGGTCATTTTCCTCCTTCTGTGTGGGTTCAAACTGCCTAACAATGTATATTATAGTACACCTGTGAACTAAGATGTTCACTTTCGTTGTTCAAAATCATAAAAATGTGAACTTTGCAGGCAAAACTGTAGAGAATACATTAAAGGTTTGCATAAAAAAGTGCAAATAATAACCTCAATAATAACAATATTCATGTCAAGGAACATATGAGTTTCCAAAAAAACACGTTAAGTGGTTCTTGCAAAAACGCACATTCTTTGCAGCGGCTTGAGTTTTAAACCTTATTACAGGTATAATCTCTCATTTATTAGCTCTGCAAAAATAATTTCTAATGCAATAAAAAATTATTTTTCTTTATTGAGACTATAGGGAGATGCAAGAAATGGATCTTTTTTCCAACACTATCCCCTCTGCACAGATACACCGTAGGTGGTCCAAAGGCAAAGACATTCGACTGAAAGATTTTTGTTGTGTAATTCTACTTCTTCACTGACTATAAAAATATTTCCTATATCAGTCTTCTTAAAGCTCGTGACCTCAGATTGCTTGCTCATATAGAAAATAAAATATAGATTAGACAATCACCATCGCTAACTGCAAGAAGTGCTATCTCCATCTTTAGCCCACATTCTTTTACTTTCGGAGCAGTGGCAGGTGTGTCTGAGCATCATGTATGTATGCGTGTGCGTGTGGACTACCGAGGCAGGTTATCTGTGAAAATGTTGTAATCAGCGAAATGATGAGGAACATGCTCATGCGACGCACAGGCTTATCAAAGATATTAGCAACTCCACCGTCCAGAGCTGATGAACTAGCGGCCACATATTTTCACACATTCATTCATTGCATTTGCTGATGACACCATACCAGCTCCCATTCAGATATGATACAACAGGAAATACACTGAAAGAAAGGTAGTTTATTGGTAGCAAGGTAAAATATCAACACAACTAGCTTGCTAATTAGCCAGACAGACTGCAAGACAGACATACAGACGTATAGTGGATAGATTGATAGATAGATGGATAGATATTATATAGTCATACCTGGTGCTCCACACACATTGCTCAGAGGGCCGCTTAACAGCATAATCAAGGGCAGCAGCAGACCCAGCGGAGGGGGGCGAAGGCGGAGCCCCCGGCCAGGCCTCCTCGACTGGACTGAAACTCCACCTTTCCTGGACAAAGGCATGGCACCGCCGCGGGTTGGTTGGAGATGACCAAGATACCGGTTGTGTTTCACTCAACAAGGGTGGGCACTCTGCAGGCACATACACAAATAACAACAGCATGAAGGTCAGCTGAAACCAATGAAAGGCACGTCTCCCCCACCTCTGATTCATCGCTGTGCCTTTAGAGCGGCAGCTGAAATGTCAGCGCAAGGGGAGAGGGGAAGACATGCTATGTTTCATATGTAGCGAGAACATCCATAATATTAAAGGCAAATTCATGCTAATGCAGGATTAGGTCTTTTGATTCAGGCAGAGCACTTGATTTGGGATTAACAGCTCAAGCAGGCCGGCTCTGACTGAACTAATACTGGAACAATAGAGGAACTGCTCAACAACTAAGACAAGAAGCAGACCAAAATGGTTTTCTGGGCGCTGCCTCGGAATTAATAAGAATCCTTTTCTAGCGAGCCGTGAAATGAGCCCCAATGGTAGATTATTGAGAGGTTTTTTTTTGTCCTCAGATGTCTTAATAATTTCATTTAAGTGTAGCTTTGGCCTAATTCCTTTTTAGCGTTCAGTATTTTACTGTTCTGGTGGCATGCAAAGTGTTAATGCAGTAATACATCAGACCAACAACGGAAAACAGTTCAACAGAGAGGAATCGAGTGGGCGGCAGGGATGCAGCAAAATTCAATGGAACTAAATTTATCAGAAACGGCTGGTTTAATAGATGTTCCAACAATGCTCCACTTGTTAATCCTTAGCCTCGGGGAGGAGGGGGGTTAGTATTTGGTCTCTTTCCTCACAAAAACACGCACATGCAATGCTGCACACATCTGGAAGTCTGAGCATCATTCAGTCTCTGCGTATTGATATTTCAGACAAGGTGTTCAAGAAGCTCCCTGTCTGGGATTCAATAACTCCACGGCCCCATCAAGCTCTGCTCCCCTCCCCCCGCAGGTGAGCAAGCCAAATGAGGAGGGAGCCTTTGTTAACCTGTCAAATATCAACGGATAACATACGTGTTCTATAGGCGACACATAATGTGTATTCACAGGCGACATTGTAATCAACACATAAACACGTGCAACCCCCCATGAGCGCATTTCCACCCTGACATCCCCAATACGGGGTCAGAAACGGAGTGGCATTAGATACGGGGCCGACCCTCACTGCATGAAATGCTGTATCTGCGAGTTACGTATTCAAAGTCTCCTTTGAGAGACCAGGTCGTTAGCCACTCATCGAGCTAACGACCTGCTCAAAAACATCAGCGCCTGCCCGGTGCCACACTAAAAATAGCTCATCTGAAAACATGGCCGTCTATCTGATAGGGGCTCGTTTTTTTGTACCGCTTTGCCCTGTCGTCTTATCAAGCGCCCCGTAATAGACGGTGAATAGAAAAGCTTTCAGCGTCCCATTTTCAATTGAACAATGTGATAAGAAAAATCAGATCAGGGCTCATTCAAGCACAATTGGCAGCATGTTAAGTAAATTCTCCTCTTACAGAAACTCGATTTGCCGCTTTTAATCTAACTAGGAAGACTGCTCGGCGTGGAGCTCAGCTTCCTCTGTCCTGTGTGGAGTATTCGGGGGCCTTTCTGCCTCTCTGTGACCTCACTCCAACCCTATTTGCTGTCACCTGCTGACAAAGCCATCTCGACCACAGAGTCGCTCATACGTAATCCCTAATCTTACCCTTGTGTATTAGTCGCCATATTCCTAAAATCTCTTCTCCCATCTACTCTCATCCCCTTCCCTCCTCTCCCCTCCCCTCCTCGGCTCCCTTGAGTGGTAACCTCTTCTGTCTAAACGCCATTTCCTCCATGCCGCTTGTCATTCATCTTCACTTTCCACACACACTCTAACCCCTGCTTGTACCCAAATCCTCTTCCTCCCCACCAGCTGCCCCCCTCGGGCCGCCTGCTCCAGCTGTTGTTGGTCCATTGACACAGTTCAAATAAAAAGGGCCCAGAGCGTCCTGCAGCTGTGAATGACGGAGGGGAGAGCGAAGAGAGAGATACGGGCGCCGCGGCCGGTTTGGGCACGTTTGCGTTTGTGCTGATGGTATTTCAACGCTCCTCCTCGGACGGGAGATGCAGATAGACGACGGAGGAAGGAGAATTAAAAGGCGTGACCTCGTGAGCATGAACGTTGTCATGACTCAGAGCTACCTGCAGCCTCTACATCCCCCTCCCATGACAAAGTGCCCCCCCCCCACGATCATCTGGCCCCCGCATCCAGAAAGTAGGCAGCAGGCGTTGGTCTTATTGCCTTTTCAGCGTGACAACACAGATGGTCAGCCAGACTTATAGATTGATGGGGGTACGGGCTGATAATGACACCGTGGCTCAGGTGGTGTAATGTGCACCGGTTATTGTGCTCCATCAGGCTGATGAAATAACAATGTTTAGGTGACATCCAACCTGATCCTGCTCCACTGGGTCCCTTGGAGGATGACATGTTTTGTTTTTCTCACCTCAGCACACCCCCCACCTCCTCCCTTCCCTCTTTACCCATAATGCCTTTCACCACAAGTGGGTTGAGATGGTCTCATAAGGCCTGTCTCCATGACAACGAGCTACGATGGAAAAACCAGTTATGTTTCCTGTGGCACCACGCTGGCGGCGAGGTGGCACACCGGATAGGATGCTCGTGTTCTTTGTGTGTCTAAGTTTTAAAACTGCCGCAAGTGTCTGTTAGGGTGCTTGGGGGACCTGACAGAAGAAAAAAAGATCTGAAAACTTTTATTTATATATTTGGGGAACACAGCGGAAGGAAAACCAAAATCAAAAAGGGAAAAAAATGCACCACAAAGCTTAAGATTTGACTGATTTTTCCTCTTATTATTCTTCTACATTTCCGCCAATGAGTCAGAAATGATGGCAAACCCTTCTTCTATTTTTGTAAAATTATGCATGGCTTTGTGAGCCAGATTGGAGAGGAAAAGTTTGTTGTAGGGGCCGTAGATTGCTAGCGGACGCAAGGAGAGGCTGGGTCGGATATTACCTCACTTCTCCTATGACCCTGTAACCTGCAGACACACAACTCTCACAAAATGTATGCATGCACACACACACACACACACACACACACACACACACACACACACACACACACACACACACACATGGCAGATGGCAAAGCATCATGGGGGAGATTGGCACACACTCTCTCACACGTCCCTTCTCACTCTTTTAAACACACAAAAATACACACACACACACACACACACACACGTTGAGGATCAGAGGCACGGGATGGAACACGGCTTACTGCAGGCATGAGCTGCACCGCCCCGGTTACATTTTTAGCAGTGAAAATAAACTATCTGAGGCTCCTCTCCTACAAGGAAACACAACTGTCACTCAAATACTGCGATTCTATTCCCTGAATATCAATGCATCTGGAGACGGGTGCTTTAACTAAATCTCAGTCTTACTGCAGCAGGATGCTGAAATTAAAAAAACAAATATTGATAAAGCAAACATCCAAACAATGTTATCATGGAAAGTATTGGCAAACAGCAATAGGATTCCCAGGCAGGAGTAAAATCACTGGTCTGAAGCTATAAAACAGGGTTGCTGCTGGATTTTCACATTACTCTTCTGAGAGCAAAAATCACTCAAAAAGCAATCTTACTCTAAACTTGCAGGTACGGAAGGAAAGACCATCAATGCCATCGCTGTGTGTCTGAAAATCAAGCAGTATACGTCTGACATATCTCATTCATCAATTATTCTACATATATATTTGTTTAATAGGTAATTATTTTATCTAACTAATTGATTACTTCATTATTGTTTCATACATGTAATCTTGTAATGCTTTAATTTGGGGGTGGTGGACCGTTTTTTTAAATTTCCATTCCAAGACATTACTCTGAACTGTGCTGAAATTGAGATTTGCAATTCTCTCTCGTTGCATTATTATTCATGAAACTAAATGATATATGAAATGGCTAATTACACACTTAATCATTAGCTAACGCCGAAACTAATATCCTAGTAGGAAATTAAAAGGAATAATAAAGTTGACATACCAAGGTGTGTTTTCTCTGGACATGAATAAATGACTAGCTGACTCTCAGCCGTATGTCGGTAATGTTATTTGTTTGTAATACTTCTACAGGTTTCCAACAAAAAAGAGACTTTCTACTTTAAGTAAAAGTTGAATTAATTAATACAAAATTAAGAATCTTTTATTATTTAAAAAAAATGTACCAAACAAAATATGAAATACTCTAATGGTTGGAAAAAATCCTACTAATTGAATTATTTGTAGTCATTATCTCTTTCCGACGCTTGGTTAAAGTGGAGAGAATGAGGTAAGTAAGTACAGACTTTATTTCGCTTTATGTGGATTATTTGATATAACTGGAGGTTTTAAAATGTCTCTCTTCTTTGCAAGAGCTGTGCATTTTTCGTCTCCTTTATTTGAAGGCAGTGTATAGATGGATATTCAGGAATCATGGGGTGCGCGTTCTCTTTTCAGAGCTTTCAAATCTCTCTTACATGTCCTCTGTGTCTTCAGTGGGACGTTTGCTTTCAAACTTTAATATGTGATCTTCAGAAAAAGCAGCATGATTTTCCTCATATCATGAAATAATGACATCCCAGTGATAAAAATAGCTTTCCTGAGATCATGAGAAAATTGAACAATTGTATCCACCCACGTCCTCTCACTGGCTTTCTCTGGCAGGAAGCTTGATTTTTTGCTTTAGGCCAATATTTAATTAAATGATGGCCTGCAGCTAGAGAGTGTGAAGCATAACACACTCGATTTCTGCAGAAATGTAAGTGTACCATTTTTTGAACTCGAAGCTTTGATTTTCTTCATTTTGGCCATATTTACCAACCAAGAAGTGAAGGAGCCGTCAGCCCTTCACACTAGAAACCAATAGACTCACACAGCAGCACTACCAATATTTCTGACCATTTTAGTTGTTGGACCGCTTAAACTTCAGCTTTTGTTCGTAACAAATCCATTTCAGAGTCTAGAAAACATGGATTTGTGATTGAGGAACAAAGGGACGGGCTGGTGAGAGAAGCTTGACGGAAATCGTCTCCCTCCCTAATCCTAATGTGTA